CCAAAAATCAAGTCTGCGCTGAAAGGGACCAGGTTCGAGTCCGTGGATGCAGTGAAAGCAAAAGCGACGCAACTCTTGAAGAGCATAACACAAGATGACCTGCAGCACTGCTTCCAACAGTGGAAAATTCGCATGGAGCGGTGTAGGGATCGGGGAGGGGACTACATTGAAGGGGATAACATTTCGACTGTCTGATTTTTTTTTAATAAAGGGTTAGAGCATGAATCCGGTTTCTTTATTGCCACACCTTGTATATCCAAAATTCTTATGTCCTGCCACACACATTGTTCCCATCTTAACCTTGGTCTTCCCACTCTCCTATTTCCTTCTGGTTTGGTGTTAAGCATTTTCTTGATGGTTCTATTCTCGCTCGCACATATTATGTGTCCACCCCATTCAAGCCTTTTCACCTTTATAAATCCAGTAATGTCTGGTTCATTAAATAGTTTGTATAACTCATGGTTATACCTCTTCCTCCATATTCCATTTTCTTCCACTGGTCCAAAGATATATCTCAAGATCCCCCTTTCAAATATGCTTAACAGTCTTTCATCCGATCTTGACAATGGCCAAGTCTCAGAGGCATAAGATAACACTGATCTTATAAGCACTTTATACATCATAATTTTGGTTTTCCTGGGTATTAATTGGGATTTCAGGTGTTTCCTAAGGCCATGGAGACATTTATTTGCTGCAAGTACACGCTTTTTTATTTCATGACTGATATCATTTTTACAGTTAACTTCTGATCCAAGGTAAGTGAAACTACATACAACCTCAAATTTATATGAGCCAATTTCAATATATGTAGGTCCAGTAGCACAGTCTTTCTTGGTTACTGGCATGTACTTTGTTTTATTTTGGTTAATTTGTAGATTCATCTTTTTTGCTGCTGTTTCCAAATTAAGAAAAGCTTCTTTCATAGATTTTTATAGACTCGTAATGTCCTTGTTCAAAATTGGTGCAGGGTTTTTATAGAGTGCTTCATATTAAATGTCTGAAAGAAACAAACACAAAATAGCCTTTACTCTTTTTTCGTTGACTTTAACTTAGTCATGTCTTATTTTTAATGTGATGTTATGTTACAGACATGTTCGAAAACACCATAAGAATCAGGAGGGTGAAAGCAACGGGGTTCATGCTTCTAATGCATGTATGAAGAAGAAACCACCAGGGTGAGTTAAGCCATGAATTTAAAATGAACATTAGCAGGAGTGGAAAAAAAAAAAACTCTGTGGCTTGAATCCGCAAGCAAACTATACTGACTGAATGACTGCCGCTTGTTGGCGAAATTAGTGCCACCTTTAGCAGGTAGAGGCTGTCGTGTGGTCAGCGCAACAAATCCCCACGACTCTTAACTTCGGTTTCCTTGAAATAGTTCCTCAGTTATCCTCACGAGGCTGAGTGGAGCCCGTTCCAGACCACTACTTTTCAGAAAATCTGGTAGTGCCGGGAATCGAACCCAGGACCTCTGGATTGTAGGCAGGGACTCTGAGCACTAGACCCTAGATCAGGGTATGGGGATTTAAAAATCCCCTGCTAATACAGGTGCTGAATACTGACTTTTAAATCAGGGTTAATAATGTTTGTGTTAAAATGTGTCACTTTGTCCATTGGATTGCATGCTTTTGCTGTCATAATAGTGTGACACATGGCTGATAAAGGTTCAGTTAAGAATATACAAGTAAGGTGAATTTAAAATTACTAAAGACAAACCATTTTAGAAAGCTGAAGTATCAACCTTTGTTTGACAGTAGAATGCAACTGAACTACATTCAGCACAGATATTTGGATTTTATTCTTATGAATTTGGCTAAAACAAATCAGAAAACTGCACAGTTGTTGTTATATGTTGGTGTAATGCAGATGATTCTGTATTATTTCACATGGACCAGTAGTATACAGAAATCCCTTGTGAATCATGATTTTGTCAAATGTACATTTCAGGTATTTGCCATTTTTAATTTGAATACACTATGGAAGAAAACAGTGGCTTTTGCACAGAAAATATTATATTCCCTTCTATGTCTTTGTCTCCCCACGCAGTAGTGTAGTTGGTTGAGGCACTATGCTACAAGCCGGAAGGTTGTGGGTTCAAGTCCCGATGAGGTCATTGAATTTTTTTCAATTGACCTAATCCTTCCAGCCACACTGTGGCCCTGGGGTTGACTCAGCCTCTAACAGAAATGAGTACCAGGAATTAATTAAATAATTTTGCTGGGGAGTAAAGTGCGGCTGGCGAGTAATGCTGACAACCTTACTGCCATCTTTGAGCTGATTGTCTAGATAGTGTGGGACCCTCAACGTCTCACAACCCTATGGGCCTTCACATCATGTTACAGGGATAGCTTTACTTTTTTACATGTGTCTTTGTCTCCCAAATGTTCTTCAGGTTTGCTGATTAATGTTTTATATGTGCATAGGCTTTGATGAGAGTTAACAGTTGCTTTGGTTTGCCTAACTTCTAGTTTCCTATAAAGTTTTGATGTTATGACTGAAGTTTTTTTCAGGAACTTAACCCTGCTGTTTGTCAGAGATTGCTGTATTGGCATAAAAACCGAGATTCTCACGGTAATGAATTTAATGATCACAGTTTTCTGAGATGTAATGCTGTGTAATGTGGTAGATAGGTTCTTGAGGAGAAGCCAAATCTGCAGCTACTCAAGAATTTCCCACCATTTTATGGAACCCGAAGGTTTATTACCGTGTTCACAAGAGCCCTCCACTGGTCCCTGTCCTGAGCCAGACTAATCCAAACCATACCATCCCATCCGTGTCTCTAAGATCCATTTTAATATTGTCCACCCACCTATGCCTCGGTCTTCCCAGTGGTCTCCTTCCTTCTGGCTTTCCCACCAATATCCTATATGCATTCCTGTAGTCCCCCATTCGTGCTACATGCCCTGCCCACCTCATCCTCCTTGACTTGATCATTCGAATTATACTCGGAGAAGAGTACAAGATGTGAAGCTCCTCATTATGCAGTTTTCTCCAACCTCCTGTCACTTCATCCCTCTTTGGTCCAAATATTCTCCTCAACACCCTGTTCTCAAATACCCTCAGTTTATGTTCCTCCCTTAATGTCAGGGACCAAATTTCGCACCCATACAGAACTACAGGCAAAATTATAGTTTTGTATATTCTAATTTTTGTGTTCACATATGATTATAGCTTAAAGAGGAGATTATTGAAACTGATGTATGTAGATGCATGTTTCATTTATGTTTCAGACCCAGTAAAGAATGGTTATGTTCACACTGCAGTCTGACTTTCACCAGTGCTTCAGTACTTAATCTTCATACACTAGCCCACGCAGCAGACAACTTAGAAGAAGCAGAGACTATTACAGGACTTCCGTCTGATTTCCATTCAGTCTACCATGCCGGGGAATTCCTTGTGCAAAATGGAGATGTGCAGTGTCCACAATGTACTCAGGTACAGCATAGGCAACATACAGGACCAGAGGAAGCATTCTGAATTTGATAAATGTGAAAATAGCAGAAAATTTGAAACTGAATTACATTGTGCTCTGTAATGGAGGATATGTGCTAAAATTAAGTTCACTAAATAGAGAAAAATACATACTATTTATTTTGAGGCTTCAAACCATAAAATAAAATTCACTAAATGCCAGAATACTAAATCAGAATTTCAGTGTAATTGGATGTTTGAAGTTTTATCCATTCTTACTGCAGAACTGTGCATAATACATTTTAAGAAGGCAATAGAAGAGAAGACACTCTACAAAAGTGACACATAGAACATGTTAACTTAAAGCATTTTAAGTGTGCTGTTTCGTGCTGTATTTATACCTCTAGCCGTAACTCTGTGTGCTGTAATATAACTTTTATTTTGTTTAATATACATATATATTTTTCCCTCCAGGAATTTCCCAGTAAAAAAGAATTGATTGAACATGTGACAGCTCATGGTAAGCTGACTCATCCACAACCACGCCCTCGAATGCGCTCTGTAAACCCTGCGAAGCCATGGAAGTGTGAGCTCTGTTACAAAAGCTTTGCTACAGATGATCGCCTTCAGGTGGGTGCATACCCCTTTACCATTGTAAAGTTAGTTCATGTTACTGTTAAGGCAAAACTTGTGACAAGATTCTGCAGACTAATCTCAATTTCTTGGGCTCTATGGTTTTCTTCATCATTTGCACTTCATTAATATTACTAAGGTAATGAAATCAAGGAGGGTGAGATGGATTACACATGAAGGGAGATGAGACATCTATACAAAACTGTTTAGAAAACTAGGAGTGAATAGACCACATTGGTGACCTAAATGTATATGGGAAGAGAATGTTGAAATGGGTCTTAAAGGAATAGAATGTGAGTATGTGACTGCATTCTTCTTCCTCAGGCTGGGGTCCAGTGGTAGGTTCTCATTAACAACATAATGAACCTTAGGTTCCCAAGAAGGATTTTGCCCAACGGAGTTGGGTTATGAAATATCTTTTTTAAAATTACAAGCACATCTATGTTTTCAGAAGCATATTTCTTTAAAACCTTGGTTTTTGTCTCTGTTCTTAATACTGCTGATCACCCTAGAAGACTTAGTGCATATTTCTGTAAAGCCTTCACCACAGCCAAACATAGGTTCAGTGCTGTTTCTCTGTAGCTGTCACAGTCAACAAGGACCAGTGTCTGAAAGGCATATGTACTTAATTTTGAAATGTGCCTGTTGGTTGTGCCATAGCTCTGGTAATTAGGTGCCAGCAATTTGCTAGGGATACTTGAGTGTGATGAATCATATTTCCAGTCTTTGTGACAGTCTGGCAGATTTTGACATCTTCATCCCTTAACTGAGGTGTTATCTGTAAGCTAATAGGTCGTTGGAAGCAGAGTGAGGAAGTTGTAAGAATTCTGTAATATTGCATGATTTATTCCTTTGCCGTATTATGTTTAGTGTGTATGTGTGTATTTTACAGCGTCATATGCTGGTACATGGGGCTGAGGAATCCAAACCATTGCAATGCGACATATGCTATAAGCGTTTTCTCAATAATTCAGCTGTAGCCTGCCATGTCAAAATCCACTCAGGTATGCTAAAGTCTGTTAGTTTACACTAATACATTGCTTATCAGCTTGAGGGATTAAAATAAATTCATATCATGTTTATGACCTTATCTTCAGTCTCTATACATAAAACTTGTAATTTTGAATTGTTTCAAATATTTTTCAAATTTATGTATGTGCCATATGTATAAGATTTTTCTGTCTGTTGTATGGATAACAAGCTGAGATGTTCAGTATAGTAGTAACAAAGAGTACATCCTGTTACTACTGCTAGTGAAGAGGAAAATGCAGAAATAATCAAAAGCACAGATATCCAATGTATTTGATATTGCTGAATATAGACATTCAGAAATGTACTCATACTGTCCGATTTGTTGTGGAAAACAACAGTGAAGATAAAATGTTATGTCTCATTTATCTCTACAACTTTCATTCAGCATTTTCTTTTCTGATAAATATTTAGCGCATTATGCTTAAGATAAGCACAGAATTGCATTTATGCATCCTTATGAATTGGTGTTTAAAACTGTTTAATCTGAATGACAATTTAAATACTTACACTGTCTCCCTCACTCTTTGTCTGTCTGCACCCTTCCCCCACCCTGTATGTCTTTCATTCATCAGTTTGCGGTTTCACCTAGGAAAACTTCCATTCGAGAACTGAAGCAAAGATTTGTTTTTGCTTTTGGTATCTCATGTAACATGCAGATTCATGTAACCAGCACCCCCCATTCCCCATACATGCCGTATAGTATGAAGTTACTGTAATTTAAAATCTTACATTGCTCTTATTCCAGTTCTTGTGAATGATCCTAGATGCTTGTATTTGACTGGTACAATTTAAAAAATAAATATTAAATTCTTTTGAAATTTTGTCTGAAAATAGGAAGGGTAAAGTAAAAGTAAATGTATCCCTCTAACAGGCCATGGAGGCCCATAAGGTTGTGAGATGTTGAGTTTCCACATTTTCTAGACTATCAGCTCACAGATAGTGGCAAGGTTGTCAGCCCTACGCACCGGCCACCCTTTACCCCCCAGACTATTCCTGTTACTCATTTCTGTTAGAGGCTGAGTTGACCCCAGGGCCATAGTGCAGTTGGAAGGATTAGGTAAATTGAAAAAATTCAAGGATCTCATCAGGACTTGAACCCGTGACCTTGAAAATGGGAAGGGTAAAATATAAAATTTGGAAGTGTAGGAATTATTTATACTTTTTGTCGTAGTTCATGTTAAATGATGATTTAAGTAAGGAGAAACTGTGTGAGCAGGTATAACTTTATATTTTGTATGATATTTTGAAGGGAATATCAGTTTTAAGCTTGAACTTTGCCTAAAATGTGGGATCCTACTTCAGAAATCCTACTTTTTTTGTCCTGTTCACTAATCGCTGATTGTCTCATTCCAAACAGAAAAGAAGAGCTTTGAATGTTGCATCTGCAAGACAGTGTTTGATCAGTACCTTGCTTTGAAAGAACACATTCCTATTCATGCAGTAAATGGACGTTTCACTTGTCGGCAGTGCACGAAGGTAAGTTCTCGCTTTCTTTGTTTGGGTGCTTTATTAAAATAGAAATGTTACTTCAGAAATATAAATTGCCCTTGATGAACATTACTTATAAAGTTATATTTCAGCATCCTGTTGCATTGAGGCGCTATCCTTATTATTAAAGACCCCATCAATAATGCAACAATATTTTTTTGAAATATAAAAGACATCTCAAATATGTTTCTCACTAAAAGTGCCATGCCGTTCAGATTGTTAACTGGTTTATTTAATGACCTGCAAGTCATAACTACAAATACTTATAACAGTGTTGTGTGTTTAGACAATTTACAAACCCCACACAATAATCTGTTCACAAAGTATCAAAGTGGCACTTTCAGAGAAAAACATATTTTAGATGTGTTTTATATTAAAAAAAAAATATTGTTACATTATTGACGGGTGCTTGAATAATAAGGATAATTACTTATAAAGCATTTACCTTTATTTTTTTTCCTCTGTTTGGACTTGTTCTCCAAAATAATTTAAATTTGGAATCATGGAATTAATTTTCAAAACATTTTTAATGAAAATATTACTGTATTTTTATAATTCTCCATCAACAGAATCAGTATTGTTACCACATAGGTGTAAGAGTTTGGATCTGCAAATTTAATGCCAGTAATTCATAAGCTGTTATGGCTGTGCAAGTGAAGTATGCCAAAATTACAGAGTGATTTGTCCGCAGATATGAGAAATGCATTGTTTTATGTTAAGAAGCATATGTATGTCATTCAAGTATATGAAACTGTTAAGCTGAACTACCTTCATTTAACATAAGATTTTTAAACTTCATATGAACACAAGAGTTTTTTTTATAAATATATGACATTTTCAAATATGTTTTTTTTTTGTCATGAATGATGAATCACTCAAGAATGCATGCAGCTGTACTTTCGTTCCACTTTGCATCGTTATGGCGTGTTTAATTTAGCATAGGGAAAACTTAACTTTTTCTTCCTTTCTTTCCTTGGCACTAGAGCCCCAGTGGGCCTAGGCCTACCTCCATGAACTTCTCCGTTCACTTCGGTTTTTCTAGATCTTACACATTCGGTAGGACTCCTTGGGTGGGTGATCAGCTTGGCGCAAGGCCTCTACTTGTACACAAACACAGAAAAACACACACACACAAACTAAACATCCATGCCCTGAGTGGGATTTGAACCCACGATCCCGGTTTCCAAGCGAGTGAAGACAGTACATGCCGACTTTCTATTTTATAAGGATAATAATAAACCATACACTTGTTGTGTTTGTTGTATGGGATGGTTAATTGTTGGATAAATTGGTGGATTCAGTGGAATGTATGGGATGGACTGCTGACTAGGATGAGCATGGATAGAATGGATAGACTGAATAAATAGATGTATGGGTGTGTGTTGGTAATGGGTTGTGGATTTGGATCTGTGACTATCAGTATGACTTTACATTCATAGATATTTCCCAATGAGTAGAAACAAATTAATTCTTGAAGTCTTTATGCATATTTCACAGCATTAATATATTTTAATTTCTTTTGTATGTACTTTTATGGCCATTAATAGTTCTAAGATCTTTTTTCTTGAGTTTGAAGCTACTTCATAATGATTTACTCCATGGCATTTATATTGTACCTATCTTGACCATTTCTCCTCTTCGCTCTTTCAACTGGAATACAGTGCTGCCACTTTTGTAATATTGCGATAAATGACTTAAAGAGGAAAGGAACAATCGATATTAAACTATTCTTTGTGACTATGACAGAACTGGAACACTGTTTAATGATCCTGTTGACCTACCAGGTGTTTGACGAGTACAGTCAGATAAATAGGCATCAGCGTGCATTCCATGGTGGCAGACGATTTCCTTGTGGATTGTGTGAAAAGGAATTTACCCGCCCAGATAAATTGAAGCTCCACATGCTCAGGTGCCCAGCGTTGGTTGCTGCAAATTGATTCTCATCCAGTGTTCTGTTTGCTCGCTCATTCTTTGCCATTTATTTATTCTCTGTTCTATTTATGCTAGTTTGGAAACATATAGTAATGCAACTATGACTGATGATGTGTTATTAAATGTAAGCATTGCATTTATATGTTAATATTTGTATGATTTAGTGACAGTATTGGAATCCCAGTTTCTTAACTCAGAACATCTGAAGTTTGCATTCTTCTGCTAAAGAATTTATTAATCTTTCTGGATTTCTCAAGAAGGGCTCTACTCCATGGAGTCAGTTACTGGAAGATCACCGTTAACATAGTTGCAGAGGTGCAAAATATTATATAACAGAAAAAATAAATGGAAGCATTTAGCATTTCATTGCATTATTCAAAGTCAGAAAATCGAACCCTTTTTTTGCTTTCTTGTTTCATTTATAGCCATAATGGCTGAGTGTATTTAGACATTTTATTCTGTCAGGATTGTCTGATATCATGCAGTAAACTATGGTATCATATTCTGACTCTTCATTTCACATAAAGAGATTAAATTATTTTAATAGTTCTGTGGCCATTGTTTGCTTTGTTGGATGTAACACTGAAACTTATTGAAACATGATTTTTATGCGAAATTAACTTCTGTATGAGATTTAAGATTCTCATGCTGGTGAGTATTAAAATTGCATTCTTCTGGGATTCACTGTTTGCAGTTTGGTAGATAGGTACCAACATTTCTCTAAAACATTAGAACCTGTCTATCAAACTTCAAGCGTCATGTCCCAGAAGACTATGGTCTTGTGATTAACCTCCATCTCTGTTACATATTTGAAACTGCATAAAAACCCTAACCTATCCATGGTTTAGTTATATACAAGCCTATGACAGGGTTCAAGACTAGAGATTAGAAATGCGTTTGATATAACTGTGATAAAATTTTATACCCTTTTTAACATGAAATACAAATAAATGAGGTTTAAGGTTCTCACAGCAGTTAATGTGAAGAGTACTGTCATCTGGGATGTGATGCCATATAGTCTGGTAGACATTCACCATTGTTTCAGAGGGCCATACTGCCTCCATGTTTAGGGTGGAAGATTAAGCCATGCAAATAGAGACAATGATAATATTAGCATATGCACATACTGCAAGAATAAGTATTCTTGCAACCAGCACATGCACCATTGTAATATAGCAAAGAGAGATGTGTGACAGGTGCGAGTCATAGTGTAAGATTTGAAGTTTTCGCAGCAGTGACTATGAAGAACGCAGTCTTCTGGGATGTGACGCCATGTAGAAGTTGTGTTAACCAACGTTTCGGAGGAACGTCGGTTAACACAACTACACAGCACCACATCCCATAAGACTGCTTTCTTCATTTTTGAAGCGGATATGAAGTTCTTGCTTTGTTTTGGATATGTATATTTAGTTTCTGAAGTTCATATACACCTCAGCATTTAGGCAGTAAGGATCTACATCTCTTGTATTATATTTAATGTGGAAGTTAGCGCATATAAAAAATCTAGTTCCATTTGTTACTGCAGTACAACAAATCAAGAAGTGTAAAAATATGTCGTTTACACAAGGAACATGTATGTATTATACGAAATATGAAGTTTTTATGGCAGTGACTATGAGGAACATGTCTTCTAGGATGTGTTGCTATGCAGTCTTACAAGTGGTTCCAAGAATATTAGAGCAATATGATTTTTCATATATTAGGACAAGAGTAGGTCAAGAATTAAAAAAGTTGTACAGATATTAAGAGAAATGGTTATGGCCTGTGCCCCAAATAAGCCAACATGAATAATGAGAATAGTGAAAGAGTCCAGTGCCTTCAATAGGCTCATTTTAAAGAATAGAGGTATGCAGAAATAGGCACCCAATGGCCTCTAAGGGTCTCAGATCCTTCCACCATTCTTATTTGCAATGCCCTGTCTATGGGCTCCCTTTTTCTGTTTGTATCTGCATCACTTTTTCCACACTCTGCCAATATTTATTTTTGTGGTGGAGGAATTGAGGTTAAGTCCCTTGGTACTTAGGCCACACATTGTAGCAGCTCTGTATGATAGATGAAAGAATGGAGCAATGGTGGAATGATTATTGACAAGGGAAAACAGAAGTTCTCAGAGCTAACCTTGAAGATGGAAGCAGCACACTTCCTACAAAACACTGGTAAACATCTTCCAGACAATCCAGTGTGACATCCAGAAACATTGTATTCTTTATGTAGTATATATGTTGATAATCTTGTTAGTAATTTTTATTTTATGTAACTCATACATGTTATGTTTTGAACTATATCATTATGTTACATTGATCTTCTTTCCGTTATTACATGAACAGAATAAGATCACAAAGCCTTAAACTATTCTTGCACATCTCATTATGAAATTGTTCATTTTTGTGGCATGGTGATTGTTACTTTTAAAATGCTCATGAATACAATGTCTTTTTCAGTGTTTCTTGTTCTCAGTTTTCTGTGACTTTGTACTGTCGTTTGCTTATTTATTACAGTATCTGGGTGTTTTATTGGCGTCTGTTTGAGTAAAGGGCTGATGACACAGACAGATGTATTTTACAACATTTTCTTTCTGTGAAGCTACAGTTGAAATTTTCTTCACAGAATTAGCCAGATTCTGTAGCTTGTTTTTCAGTTCGCTGTTGTTCAGTGAGTGGTTCGGATTGAAATTTGGACCAGGAAATACACATATGTTATGTTTTTGTAGATATATAAGCCCTGGAACTGATACTCACTTCCAGGAGAAAGCCTAATCCTGTGTATCAAGCACAAAGACTACCAGATTTCTTTGCAGTAAGCCACGGGGCACTGATTCTGCAATATTTTATGATAGTTATTGATTTATATATTGAATATATCTCAGTCAATGGGCAATGAAACTGGCAGTATTGATGGAAATAAAGCTTGTGTGAAAGCATACAATATTCATTTATAAGATTACACAAGCAGGATGCAGTGTTGTAAGAAAGAAAATCTCTTATGATACTTGGAATTTGAAAGTGAAAAGTGTGTATTTTGCCAGGGGTAAAGAAGCTGTGGTGTCAAGCTGACCACACACTATCTAGTACCGAGGTTAAAAATGTGTGGAGCCATACCTCTACTCCTTCATATGTCTCTGTGGCATGGTGTTTAATTAAGCACAGGGACAACCTTAATTTTGTGCATATTATCAGACTAAAGCTATGTCTTTTGTATACTGTGTTGTGCTCTCACAAGAGACATTTTGTGACTTTGTTCTGTGAAACACTGAGCTATTTTGTCTGTGTCATGGTGATGACAGTAAGCCCTTTATATCATACAGCATTTGCTAGTCTTGTTTGTCTTGTTTTATCTAGATGTTTGTTTGTTTGTCTGTTCTGGGTCTGTCTCTGCTAGGTGTTTGATGAGTACAGTCTGCTCCGTAAACACAATCGAGCATTCCACAGTGACAGGAAGCACATTTGCTTGCATTGTTCCAACCTCTTCCCAACGCTCGACAAACTCAGAATGCATATGCTCAGGTAACACCTCACTCTTCCTTCCTGCATATGCAGGATTTAAAGACTGGTTTATAACTGTTTGGTGATTTGGCTGAACTTTACAGTCTTTCAGTATTTGTGCAGGGACATGGTATATAGCCAAGAGGCATGCCTGTTGCTGTATAATATAGATTTCAGGCTGTAAAGGTTATGTCAACAATATCTTTTATATCCAAGGTGCTGTTGGAGCCAAGGCATGACCACTTTTGGAAATGATTAAAAGCAGATGAAGTTCATAGAAGCAGCTGGAAAGTGTTCAGTTTCTCACTTGATATAGAATGCTGTCTGTAATTTACATTCAGTCTATCTTTTGTATTGTTTCATGTGCCTGATTTTAAATTATGGTTGTACTGGGCTTCAAGCAGGAATTGAATAGACTTTAAGAAATGAGGATTTTTTATTCCTGTTAATAAATATGTATATTCCACACACAGTCTGAGTATGGTGTTGCAATGTAAGAGATGAAATCATAAAATTTTCTTCCATTTCTGTCATAATAGGTAATTAATTCAAGATGCAATCATCTGTTATGCTGTCTTGAAAATTCCTACATTTTTATGTTCTTAGTGAATTTTTATAATGTAAGTTGTATGGTGGCTGGGCTAAAGAATGTGTGTCTAGACTAGCGTGTGACCTGACTCACAGAGTTATATATATATATACAGTAATATTTTTAGAAATATTTTCATTCAAATTACAATTACCTACCTACCTACCACTCAATGCTACAGCCCTGGGTGAGCCTTGGCCTCCTCTAGAACCAGTCTCCACAACCAATACGTGCTGCCATAGGAATGGATCCACTCATGATGACCGAGGCTGGTTGTTAGGTTTCTGAACAAAATTCTTTTTACAGGATGAGGTTGTTAGCCTCATGCCCAACCCCAAACCTGGAGGACAAGGGTATCTCTCTTAATCTGGACTCTACCCTTTGAACTTTCCGGCATGGATGATCATACCTGTAGTTAAACTACCACTGGCATAGCTCTCCAGGTCACAGAGTCATGCAAGCCCCACTACCATGACAAGGTGGAGACACCTTGGGGGTCAAATTCCCTTTGATATGTGATATTTAGGTGATGTACCCAGAATAAAAGGTTTCCTCCATATCATCAGTTCCATTTTGTAAAAATCTGCATCCTAAAAAAGGGGTGGTCTGTGGAACTGGCAAGGACAGTTATTTTCCTTCTCCGTGGCACGTAGAATTGACATATATTGAAGCTGACTATGACATGTCAGATCAGAAGTCAAGTTTTGACAGTTGACCGTTCCTGACTCCCTGCTACATATTAATAACCAGTTGATGCTGACATTTCAGTGGGAATGTTCACAGTATGGATGTAATAGGCAGTATTGCCTTCTGATAGCATATCTGTCGGGTCTTGCTGTGCTAAGTATTTCACCCTTTCTCAGCTATTCCATTAATATATTGTCACATGTGTAGGTGTATAACGCGACAAATAACTTCACGCCTTATTGGATGTAGCGAATTTATTGCACATTTGCTCTTACAATCAGACAATTTACAGATCCACAATTACTGCCTTCGGCAGTATCACAAATACTACACTGCAAATACTGGTTGACTGCCTGGCTGACTCTTAACTCGTAGCTCGAGAACCAAACTGAATAATCTTCGCTGCTCCTTATTTAGCCTTGTTCCGGACAGCACAGAAAACAGCCACGTAATCGGCACCACTGTTGTCTGTCACCATGGTAGCCGATAGCCTAGCAACACTGTTGGGAGTTGTTTACTTCTACTTAGCAACTGTGGCGTCCCGTGTTACATCACTGCTGTTGACTTGTGTTGCATAGTGACCAGTATGCTGGGACTCGGCTAACTTCAGCTCCGCTCGGCGCGTCACGGCTGGTGGTGGGGGGGGAGAGGCATCATCCATAGTGCAACACGTCACAATATTTTATATATTTTCCTTCATAGGTTTTTCCTCTAGCAGTAACCTGATAAAAACATTGTATCCAATGCTCTGTAAGAAGGCTCACATCAGATTTTGTTAGTTTTGTGCCTAAGTACATACACATTTTTTTGGTCTTCCATGTGTATTAAATACTTAAATCAAGATCCTATGCAGTGAAAGTTACGTGTAAGATACCAGGGTTTTAAGTCAGAAATAATGGAATTTCACCAGTTTAAAGACGTTTAGCCAATTTATGCCCTTCATAATAGTTTGTCTTACTGAGCATCAGAAATATTACATGACATGATGGTAATTTGATCATAATTTTGTAATTAGATAGGCAAAATTCATATTCAGTTATGTATCAACATTATTGCATATACGTTTTATTTACTTTAGATATAACAGTATGTCTGAGATTTGCTTCCTGTTACTTATTTTGTAATGATTTGTACAGTGCTTGATCTGTTTTCATTTTCTGTGCTGACAAGTAGTTCTGTTTGCTTGCCTTTATGTTCAGTAAATATAATGATAAAGAGGAACAGAGCATTTTATGTGCATATACTCTGTTTTGATATTCATATTCTCTTAGAATCTTATTTGCTATATTATGTATGTTTCTCTTTGTTAAATCATCGTTGTTATATCAAAATTTATCCATCGTTTTGAAGTTTCTCTGAAGATGATATTAATTATGCATCTTGAGTTTAAGCCATTAGGCCCATAAATGTTTTCTGTGACATATTTCACCATTTCTACAGTTTTATGTTGTAATGGAAGTATTATATGATATTCTCATGGAGATTGTTTACTGTTGAGTAGAGTAATGAAAGTATGTTCAAATGAAACCTATAGTAAAGTCTTGTTTAGACGAATAGGCATCTGACACATTTCTTATTCAGAATGGCTTGAAACAAGGATATTCTTTCTTGCCATCGCTTTTTAGTTTTGCGATTAGGAAGGGCAAAGAAAACAAGGTAGAATTGAATGGGACACATCAGCTTTTGGTGCATACTAATGATGTTAATTTATGAGGGAGAACAGAAAATTAAGTATATGTTTACCTCTTGTCACCAAACTGCAGGCCAAAATCATAACATAAAGATACCAGTAAGTAGATGCTTTGAAAATAAGGTGAAGTTCAAATATTTGGGAGCAGTACTAACAGATGAGAATTGCATTGATGAAGAAATTAAAGAGAAGGTTAAATTCTGGGAATGCTTGCTACCATTTGGTTTAGAAACTTTGCTCCTCTTATCTATTACATAAAAATGTAAAGATTAAAATACGTGAAAATACAGTTTTGCCTGTAGTCTTGTATAGTGTGAAACTTGGTCTGAGAACATGGACTGAGGGTGGTTGAGAACAGCGAACCAAGGAGAATATTTAGAATGAAAAGGGCTAAAGTAACAGGAGCCTGGAAGAGACTGCATAACAAGAAACTTCACAATTTGTGTTCCTCACCAAATATTACTTACTTACTTACTTACGGAGCTAAGCCCTTCTTGAGGAGAAGCCAATTCTGCAGCTACTCAAGAATTTCCCAGCATTTTATGGAACCAGAAGGTTCATTATCGTGCTCACAAGAGCCCTCCACTGGTCCCTATCCTGAGCCAGATCAATCCAATCTATCCCATCCTATCTCTAAGATCCATTTTAATATTGTCCACCCACTTATGCCTTGGTCTTCCCAGTGGCCTCTTTCCTTCTGGCTTTCCCACCAATATTCTATATGCATTCTTCTTCTCCCTCATTCATGCTACCTGCCCTGCCCACCTCATCCTCCTTGACTTGATTGTTCTAATTATACTTGGAGAAGAGTACAAGTTATGAAGCTCCTCGTTATGCAGTTTTCTCCAACCTCCTGTCATTTGATCTCTCGACATATTATTAGAATTATCAAATAAGGGAGGATGAGATGGATAGGGCATGTAGTATGCATGGGTGGGAAGAGAAGTATATACAGAGCTTGGGTAAGAAGCCTGAAGAAGGACACTGTTAATATGGATCTGAAAGAAATAGGGTGAGAGGATGTGGACTGATTCATCTGGCTTTGGATTGGGACCATTGTAAACATGGTAATGAGCTTTCAGGTCTTATAAAAATGCTGGTAATTTTTTGAGAAACTGGTAGCTTCTCAAGAATATCTCAGCTCCATGGAATTAGTTAATTTTTACCTTGTGCATATGCAGTACTACAATCCTTTAGTAAATTAGGTGGGTGGCCAATTTGCAGAATAAAAAAAAAATATGATGAAAACATTGCCCTTAGAATATATTTCTGTATTACTTATATGTGTTCTTATATATATGTTTTCTAAAATATTCTCACTCATTTCACAGTGCATTATGATGGATGTAAGTAGCATGAAGATTGACTGTAGTATTGCCAATTCCATTTTATAAAATTCTTTGCATTTTGACAAAGAACTAATTTGTGAGGTAGACAGGGAAAAGTTGTTAACTATGAGATCAGTGAGTTTAGCCAGTTTATAGCAAAATTTAGGTGGATTAAGTAGAGGAGACAGTAAGAGGAATGAAAATTGTTCACAGAATTTCTCTTTATATATGTTTTCTGACTCCACATTCTGAGAAATCCTCTGACCCATTTTTTGTGTTCTGTTATTATAGTTTCTCTTCTGCATTGTGAGCTTGGTAAATTTAAAAATTCTGTTACTAGTCTTAAATTCTACTCTCTATTCAAAAGGCATTCAGATCATCGTGAATTCCTGTGTGCCAATTGCGGGAAACAGTTTAAACGCAAGGACAAGTTGAAAGAACATACGAACCGTATGCATTCAGCCGAACGAGAGCTGCGACTTGCTATGAAACTTCATCGCGCACCAACAGCCAAGAAGTTCATGCCTAAGGTACAGGTAATGCTATCTTGCACTGCAAGTTTGTTTTATTTCCTTGGTTGTGATATAGTTGGAGAAATTGAATGTTGCTATCAGTCTGAGCACAAAAATAGTTCATACTATCCGTCTGATAACTTACAGGTTCATTGATTTCTTCTTCACTGTTTTGTTATTCATAGTTCTTTGTTCCCCTTCCTTCTTTCAAGTTGTTCCATGGCTCTGTGGTCCTCCAAGAACCTTTGTCTCTTTTACACAGATCTTCATTCATCTCTGCCATTTACCTTTTGCTCCATCTCTTCACTTATGTCTCTTATAAGTCATTCTCTGCATCTTCCAGCCTTTTCAGTCTGAGACTTCCCCCTCTCTTCTACCTTCTGGCTCTCTTTAAAAATGTTCTTAGTCCTCCTTTGCTAGACCTATTTTAATGTCATGCCCCAACCATTCTAACCTTATTTTAACATCTGCTGCCACATCAGCATTTCATATTGTCATATGGTGGAGTGTGACTATAGACGGGATTTGGATTGGTAATTGGATTTATTGGTCTCTTAACTCATGACTACACTTTACAGTTCACTTTTACACACACACTGGTGTCTACAGTCATGTCTCCACTGCTGTTGCTTGGTAGCGGCTTCCAACGGGTGATGTTCCCTTCCTCTGGGTTCCTGAACTGTCCCCAACCTCAACTACCAGCTTCTAACAGCAACAGTTCACAACGACAGAACCGCAGTAGTTCTCTAAGTAACTGCAATTGCTAACTGCTCCTGCTTATAACATCTAAGCACGGACTGCATAGAAAACATCTCTTCCATTATTGCTGTATTCTGTTGTTGCCATGGGAACATGCTTGTTTTCTGAACCATTATTTAGTAATGACTGTTATATAGTTGCTTGTTTCACAATCATTGTCTAGCAGTGGGTCTGCATGCCACAATGTAATTTACTCATTTCATGGTTAGTTACGATTTTCCAGACACCGTGCTCAATTATGGTCCATACATCTTCATCAAAATTTTAATTTCCCACATATTTAACATATTTTCATTCTTTTCGCTCATGGACCATATTTCACAGCCACACACCCCAACTGACTTTAACGTTTGTTTTATATATTTTAATTTTTGATGTTCTGCTGCTCTCATCTTGATTTCTTCAATAATTACATTTTTTCCTGTTATCAACGTACTTAAATATTTAAGCATTCTGATCTCTTTGAAGACATGGTCATCAACATTAAGTGTTATGTAGGAAGTTCATATATAAGACAGCAAAGTGGTTTTCCTTCATATATTAATTCACACAGTGAGAGAGTTTCAATGGTATGCATGTTGCTTAGTTGTTGACTGCTTTGTGTTAATTTCCTGCAGTTTTGCTAATGAAGATATATGTAGCAATCCTTGTGAACATCTGTCCTGCCCTTCTTTCTAGTGGATTTCTATATTTATTGCCAAATTTCTTCGAGATACATATATTGCATTGGAAAACTAATTAATTGTGGTCAAATTTAGAACCCTTCTTTGTGGACATTTCACATCATTTTGTGGGTGCATGTTAGCTTTTGCATGTCCAACTATTCATTCACATTTATATCTTAGTAATATTTGGTATTTTGGATCCTTTCTACAGTTTATCAACTAGATTTCATTCTGATCTGGATTGAACAATGTGGGCTACTAAAATATATAAACACATTTTATGTGTACTACAGTAAATATTGAATAACTACTATGTTTTGTGCTTTGTTACAATTTATTCTTTGTGTTCTGGTGTAGGTTAATCTTTATAGTTATAGGCTGTGGGTTGGATGGTCGGTGTTAAATTCCCACCAGGGAAATAGATTTTCTCGTTCCTGTTGTGTCCAGACTGGTTCTGGGACCTGTTCAGCCCCCTACCCAGTGAGCACTGGGGATTATTTTCCTGAGTGTAAAGTGACCAGAGCATGAAGCATGGTGTTTTTAATTAAGAGAGATATCACACAGAGATACTGGGTTTCTTGACTTTGTCCATCGTCTGGTTCCAAATAACCAAGAAAAACACAACGTTTTGGAAACTGGATCTATTTCCATCCTCAGGTGAGGGAAGACACCTACTCTGTTGGGTCCCTTAGAAATCAATCATTGGACGTAGTTGGAAACAGATCCAGTTTCTGAAACGTTGTGTTTTTTCTTGGTTATTTGGAACCAAATGATGGACAAAGTCTGATAACCCAGTATCTCTGTGTGTTATACACCGTCATCAGAACCCTATAGTATGTAAGAGAGATATGTCTTATTGGTGTGATCCTTAATTAAGTCCAGGGACAACTCTACTTTTATGCTTTATTCTTATGAATGTGTGCTTTTGACAGTGAACACCAAATAATAAAGTGATGTTGATGAATGTACACAGATCATGCCCAATTGTGATATGCTAGGCTTGTGCCAACATTATTAAATATGTTTGATGTCTGATTAGTTTTGGTATTGCACAGAATCCATCAACCATACTGTGGGGTAACTGTCATATTTGGATTATGATTGTGGGGTGGTATTGATGTTATGTTGCAGGTTTCTCCAACAGATTATCATCGTTTCATCTACAAGTGTCATACCTGTCTCTTGGGATTTAAGCGCCGTGGAATGCTTGTGAATCACCTGGCAAAACGCCATCCTGACATCAGCCCTGATTCTGTTCCTGAACTTAATCTGCCAATTCTGAAAACTACCCGAGACTATTACTGTCAATATTGTGAAAAGGTAAATGTAGTGGTTGTTAAGCGTCAATATGATGGAAATTGCAATATGCAGATTAGAATCTTCTATTATGATTAGTTTTATTTCTGTTTTACCATCTACTCAACTAAGGAAGTATATGTAATATTCTCACGTATGAGGTACATATAATTTTCATGAAGGTTTCTGTCGTCTGGTGTATAACACCGTGTAGTCCGTGGAAAGTCACTTGATGTTTCGGAGGAACATGCCTCATCCATCTTCAGAGCAGGCTGTAGTTGCTACTTGCTTGGCTTATTCTTTGACCCTGAAGTTGGAGGCAGAATGTTCCTCTGAAACACTGGTTGACTTTCAGTGGACTGCATGAATTTATGTCTCAGAAGGTAAAACTCTTTGAAAAATATATGGGCAAGACGTTGTTGTACAAGTATGAACCCTTTGTTGTTGCCGTAAAATAGTTCAGTGTAAGGGAGGGCAGATTCTTGTTCAGTTCACCCTATTTCAGATAGTCAGTTTTGAACACTGGACCATTGTCCAGTCGTTGAGACTAGCTTTTTCCAGTGAGCCTTATTGAGTACAAATTTTTCCCCCTTTACTCCTGGTGACAGAAACAGATCCAGTTTCCAAAACATTGTTCTTGAATAAGCTCAAGGCAGTGGCCAATGTGCAAAACAATAGTCATTTTTGTTATAACACACCATCATCAGGAAAATTTAGACTTAGTCTCTGTGAAAGTTAGGTAACTAATTGGCTAATTGTATAAACTTTGCAGGTCATTGATTCCGGTATATATAGGGTAGTTATATTTATGCAGGACTGATTTTATCCTATAATTTTTATCTGCATTTCAGATTTATAAGAGTAGTTCCAAAAGGAAGGCTCACATCTTGAAAAATCACCCTGGAGCAGAGTTGCCAATGAGCAACAGACGGAAGGTAAATCATATTTGCTCTCATGGACAAGTAAGAGTACTTTTGATTCCTAAATACATGAATGTTATTTCCCACAAGTTTACTATCTTTATTAAGTTACAGAACTGGTATGAAGTGAAGGAGGGTACCAAACAGTTGAAGCTTTAATCTTTCTCTTTTCCGAATGGATGTTCTGTTATTTGTCAAGTTGCTTATTTTCAGGATTTATGAGTTCCTTGCTTGCAATAAAGGAGTGACATGTTTAAGTAAGGGAAAGCCTCGTAGGATCTTTACCTTAAATTGTGCTGACTGTTCTGACATTGGTTATATGCACCTTTCTCTTTCTGCTTCTTCTTCTTCTTCTTCTTCTTCTTCCTCCTCCTCCTCCTTTGGCATTCCCGCTTATTCTGTCTTGTTTAGCTGTTCATTTATCTCTATATTCCCAGAGCTCCTCCTCCTCAGTTTCCTCCATATTCTTCTTTGTGCATGATATCTTTCCTAATCTGTTATTCCCATCTCTATCTTGGTCTTCCTCTTGGATGTTTTCATTTTAGTTTCATAGTCAAAATCTTTAGAGTTTTTTGTGTGTTCATTTTTAGAACACAGCAATACCATCTTAATTTTGTTATTTATTAATTTATCCTCCAAGATGTTTATCTTTAAATCCTTATTTCCTCTCTCTGCTTAGGCTTTTCTGCCTACACTGCTTAAAAATCTCACCTCGGCGTCTCTTAGTCTGTTGTGCATATATTTTTATAAATCACCAGTGTTAATGTTGATTTGTTCTGGTGGTCACATCAGGGAGGTGTTCCAGAGATTCCAGGGGTGCCAAACCCAACATTCTCTCAGACTGTGGGCAGTGTGACAACACATCCACATGGCTGCCTGTGGTGTCATAAGCAGTATGCATCAAAGGCAAAATTGCTCCAACACCAGCGCAAGAAGCATGTTGACTTACTGCCTCAAAACCAACAGGTCAGTAGCATCCGCTGGTCTCCATTGCAGTTGTAAGAAAGCCAAGCTGCAGAAGGAGCCTTGACAGCTACTTAGCCACGCCATAGCTCAAGTGGTTAGGCACTGGCTTCCCACCGCGGTGGCTGGCCCAGGTTCAATCATGGGTCTGGTTAAGTGGGATTTGTGGTGGACAAAGTGGCATTGGGGCGGGTTTTCTCTAAGTACTTCAGTTTCCCCTGCCAATCTTCATTACACCAAATTCTCCATCATCATAATCACCCAGGGCAGGTACAATAGGCCAGTCAGTGGCCGCTGTGGCGAGTGGACCCAGTTGGACTCCACTCCCCACTAAGCGAATTAATTAATTAAATAATTGACAGCTACTAACTTCTTCGCTCTGTCATCATGTTAAGAACCTTGACCTATTTTATGACAGAAGCCCATGCTCCTTCATTATTTGCCATTTGTCTGTCTCTCTTTGCTCACAGATCTCATAAGTTATTCTCTGCATCTTCCAGCCATTTCTGTCTGGGCCATCTTCTTTCATAAGTTTTGTTTATTCATTTGTTTGTTTGTTGTTAGGGTGATGTGGGACCAGTCCTTTGATACTTAGGCTGTAGATAGCTGTAGATCAGTCCTGAGTTATGAAGGAACTGAAGCATTTAGTAAAGTGATAATTCGCAGGGGAAACTGAAAGTACTTAGAGAAAACCTCCCCCAGTACCACTTTGTCCATTACAGATATCCGCATGAACTGACCTGGGATTGAACCTTGACTGCCATGATCCTTCTGGCTTACTTTCAGAAATTTTTATTGGTTCCCTCGCTTGATCCATTCTGATCACATGCCTCCACTGACTTTAACTGTTTCTGCTATCAGATCATGTGCTTGTAATTCCCTCAGTTCTTGGTTCTAATTCTCCAAACAGTTGTCTGAGTGAAATGTCTATACACATTCTTAAAAATTTTCCAGTCCTACATATTTCACATTTATTTATCTGTCTCACTCATGTGCCATGATTCATAGTTATAGATCACAACTGCTTTTAACTTTGTATAGTTTAGCATTTTATATTCTGTTCAGAATTTTGAACTTTAAATATGTTATAACCATAACAGTTATTATCCGTGTTAAAATGAGAGATGAAATCACTTAGGAAGTGAATATTCTTAAAAGAGCTGTACACAAAAAAGGCTCATAATGAGCTGATCATACTACACGTCTTGTCCTTTCATCTCGACTCTTTCATAAGATAAGGTGATATTGCTTTCTGTTTATTTCTACTCTCATTGTGACAGTATTATAGTGATAGTATACTGGCTTGCCTTATGTTGCTATTTTTGCAGCAATACTTACCAGTCTTATACAGAATTGTATACTTTACCACTGTCATGATATTAATATTTTTTTCAGTTTTGACATTATTATTGGTGATTAGGAAACCAAGTAACTAACTGCATGCAGCTGAGTCCTTGAGAGCCCACCAGTTGCTCAGATTCTCAATAATGTAACATTTTGTAACAATTTTTTTTTTACATTGAGGAACTACGAGCCCCAAGCCCAACCCTCAGGCTGAAGGGCCACCCTTTTTCGGCTGTCATTGACTGCTTATTCAGTACACTCGCAGTTATCCTCCATATCCAGAACCTGAGGATGCGCCATGCTGTGGTGACAAGGGACGCACTTAACATTCAGTAATTTAAGTTAATCACAAACAGCATATAATTGTAACTTATTTGTTTCAGTCACCACGTGCCATGAAAAATCCCAACTCTCCAGGAGGACCAGAAGGTGGAAAATTTTTGCCCGTGTCAGTAGCTCCAGCATCCCCAACCTGTGAGGCACAGCAAGTGGTACAGTTGCAGAGCACAGCAGACAGTGTGGTCACTCCACAGACAATCAGCATTATTCCAGGTATATCCCTGTACATTGGAATTACTGGGTTTTTGTGTTTTGTCCATCATCTAACACTAAAGAACACAGCGTTTAGGAAACAGATCCAATTTACAAAACGTACCTGAGGTTAGCTTTTTCTAACAGTCCTAACAGAGTGGGCGTCTCCCACGTCTTCACCTGAGAATGGAAACGGATTCTATTTCCAAAACCAGATGATGGACAAAGTCCTGAAACCAGTTATGAGTGTTATGCCCATCATCAGAACCTTTCAGAATCTCCCTGTACATCGATATTATTGAGGTAGAGGAGGGGTTGTAACTGGGTGGGCATTTTGGTGAAATATGGGAGACAAGAAATGCAATTAGAATTCTGGTGGGAGAACCTTCTTAGGTACCAACCACATGGAAGATCAAATATGTGAGGGGATAACATAAAGATGGAGCTTAATAAATCGGATGATGATGGGAGGTTGGTGGAGCTGGTTCATGTTTATGTTGAGTGATGATACACATGCATGCGCCTACCTTTTATTCTGATCTTTAGTCTGAAAACAGAGGTGCACCATGTATACAGTAAGGCTGTTCTTATTTATGAAATCCAGAAAATATGTGACATAGACCTTCTGCAACACACATAGCTTGATACACGCATTCATGTGCGTGTGCACACACAGTCCCTGTTAATTTGTATGTCCAAATGATGGTCATAAACAATGTTCTGGTAATTATTTGGGACTATTATGTAAAATATTTTAGTGACAGAATGTTACACGGAAATTTCAAGCCAGTTTTCTGCTTATAGCATGCATTTTATTTCCAGAATAAACCATACTGTTGTAAAGTGATAGTTAAAAACCTGAACACAATTGTAGATGTGCACTTCCTGCCTCAATACTCCTTTCTAGACAAGGACAGAACAGTGCTCACCTACAACATGAGGGTTACAAACATATGATGTTATTAGCATTACCAATTATGTAATCAACAAAAACTCCGTGGCCTGTAGTCTGCAAGCGAACTATACTGACCAAGTTACTGCCACTTGTCAACAAAGTTAGTGCCAAATTTAGCCGATAGAGGATGTCACATGGTCAGCACAATGAATCCCCATGGCATTTAATCTTGGTTTTCTAGACCGGAGTCGCTATTTCCTTGAAGTAGCTCCTCAGTTATCCTCATGAGGTTGAGTAGACCTCATTCTAGACCCACTACTTGTCAGAAAATCTGGTTATTGAATCAACACATGTCAGAATATTTTATGAGTACACAACAAATTGTTACCAATACTGGGTGTTTACATATAGTATACAACCTAATTATAGAATGAATTTCAAATGGGGCGAACAAAAAAATGCAGTGGCACGTGACAGCCCTGAAATCCATGGGACAGAGTTCAGGTGAAGCTGAGCCAAGCAGCAGGCCCACTGCATGTCCTGTATATTACCAATGTAAGATTATAGGTTGGAATTGAGGTTCTCACAGCATTGACTATGAGGAGTATTGTCTCGTTGGATGCAACATTGTGTGGCCTGGTAGCAGTTCAATATTTCAGAGCAACATACTATTTCCATCTTCAGGGTCACAGGATAAGGCAAATGGGCAACAAACTGAGAGCTTAATGAAGGCAGCATGTTCTTCTAAAATGGCTGCATACCTTTTCCAGACAACACGTTGGCACATCCCAGAAGGTGGTACTCTCCAGCTTTTGTGGGAGCGTCACATGAGTAATCCTCCATATTCTTGTACTGCCTTTATGTGTTTTAACAGCATTCTATACAGCAGGAATTATATTAAGAAAGAATGTCCAATAATATTGAACTTTTTTTTAAAGCAGAATATCAGATCACAGGAAGTGAAGGGGCCCTGCGAGAATATCAACACTCTGGAATAATAATAGATACATCAACTTTAAAACGTCCACTAAAGGTATGTAAATGTTCATTTTAGAAGCAGGAAATTCCCACATTTATACTCTGTGATATTTAGAGAACACACAATTCTAAAGTGGCTAATGTGCTATTGTGATATATGTCCAAAGCAAGATTGTTGAGTATGCAAGAGTTAGGAGTAAAATATGATATGGTGTTAATGATCAGGGAATAATATATTTAAAATGTTATTGTGGAGGATGATAGAATGTGTTTTAATGTAATTGTTCAATGTACAGTTTAGTAATATGAAAGAAATTGAATGGTATTGTGAATTACAATTGAAGGAGGATTGAAATCTTGAGAAGGTGAAGTATTGAAATCTGTAAGCACTGCTGAAATCAGTGCAATATTAAGTGAGGGACAGCTCAGTTGGTATAATGACAGGCTACAGGTTCGGTCGCTGGGGTTCCAGTCCCAGCAGGGGAAAGATTTGTCTCTTCTCCGCAGCATCCAGATTGGCTCATGAAAGGCCCACCCAACCTCCTCTCCAGTGGGTACCAGGGGTGATTTCACTGGGGATAAAGCTACTGAGGCATGAAGCTGACCACTCACCTCCATCTGTTGCTGACAGCAAGAATGATGGAGCTATACCTCGACTCCCCTATAAGTCTTCATGACATAGTGCTTAATTAAGCACAAGGACAACTTTAGCTTTTATGAACTGAGGGAAAGCATTCAAAGTACCACAGTCATAATTGTATGAAAAAGATAGTAACCAGTAAATTGTGAACAATCATAAATGAATATTTCAACAGAGTTTTTATTTAGATAGAGCAATTTTTAGCCTACTTTCATTCCTAACCCTTTTGTTGCTTATTATTTTCTCACCAATTTCTTAAAATAATACTGTTTTAAGGTAAAAGTATGGTAAAAGTGTCAAAGAAATAAATTTTCATAGCCTGGTGAATGAAGCTAAATGATATAGTGAAAGGAGGTGATTTTTTCTTGATGTGGATCAGAAATGAGTGTCACACTATATCATAATGGGTGCTTATTTGGCTTAAGTCAAATATGACGTCAGTAGTGTTAAGGAAAATGAGTAGGCTTATGAGATTTCCATGCTGTCTGCATGTGTATATGTGCATGTGCCTGAACATATGTTTCTGAGTCTCCAATTTTAACTTTTGAACCAGTTGACTGATTTTCACGAAACTTGTTATGAATATTATGCTACTGAAGACACCACATCTTAATTTTATTAATTTCCTGTAGTCAGTAATAACGTGGCAGACAGGCAGTGAGAGCAGCCCTACAAACTCTTAATTTAGGGCCCTTAAATGATGTATGATAATACAACTTCAAAAAATATTCAACTTTCAATATGGCTTCTCCCCCCATATGTGCTCCTGCACGCATGTATATAAAATATGATATTGGTCATACAAAAGTTTCTTTCCTTTTAACTTCGATGGCAGTAACGAACTATGGGAGCAGTGCACAAAACATTTGATATGGAGGTAGGTCATAAACATATCTAAAAATTTTGTATGAAATATCGTTTTGGAGTGAGTAGTTTACAAATGTGAATAGTGAAGTTATATCTGACAAATTTAATGTAGAAATACATAAATAAGGAAGTTCACAAAATTGCAGTAAATTAGGAATGATACGAGTAATAATAGATCAGTAGGACTAGAAATCTGTGCATTAGGAAAGTAGACTTATGGGTTCTTCCCAGAACTCCCGGTTGTTCATGGTAATATGGATATATATGAACATTTTAGTTGAATTGATCCTGTGATTATTTGCAGAGCCTTGCTGATGGAGTCTCAGCAGAACTCCTAACACAAGCCATGACAGAACTGAGCCAGATCAGTGAGTTCCGTGTATCTGTCAGCGGGAGTACAACATCTGGACACGATCACTACTTCAAAATTGTACAGACTTCTTCAGATCCAGTCACTGTAACCCAGTCAGGACAGTCTGAAACCCAACCTGATTCATCATCAACTGCAGATACCCCTGGACAGGATCATCCAGATCCCCTGTCACCTGCTTCTGCCCCTGCCCCCACTTCTACCTCTCACTTGCAACATCTCCTCACTTCTGATCAATCTTACTCACTCCCTTCTTCTCCTGCTACAGCACTGTCTTCATCATCTCCTGGTCCCCGTGCCTGGACCCAAGCAAATGCCATCTACACTCCGTATACAGCCCGCTGACACTAGCCATTGCTTTCTGTATCTTTGTGCACTGCTTTGGTTTCTGCCCCCTGAAACTCTGGAAGGAGTTGTAGGAGGGGTTTTATGAAGCCTTGGTCATAGCTCTTGAGAGTTGAAAACTCACTTGAGTGAATCGTCTACTCTGTTGCAACATTGATTGTGCAGAGATGGCGGAAGATGTTATTTTGTTGTCCAGGCTGAAACCTGACAACACAAGCAGGTGAGAGATTAAGGAGAATTGTTTGTGTAGTGCATCGCAGATCGGTGCATCAAGTATTGTTTTGTTTCAAGTCTGTGAGGTTTGCCTTGGGTATAAGGGTTTGAATAGGTTGGTGATATTACTTGTTTGACAGAGAAAGAAAGGTTTGCCAAAGGCAGTGGTTTTGGAAGTAAGAAGCTTCCATTTGTCAGTTTTGTATTATTCCAGAGCCAATGGAACTTATTTTATCTTGTAGATCTGATCTTGTAAGTGGCTGCCTTTATTTTTTGATGGAATATTGGTAATACTGATGTTATTTTATTGCACCAGAAGAACAGTTCAGTCTTAAAACGATGTGTGAATTGGTTTTAAGAAGCAAAGCTCTTTATATCAAAGATCAGTATTATTGGTTCTGTGGGGAAAGGATTTTTTTAACAGGACTTGTAATCTTAGAAGAAAATGTTTTTAAAATGGAAAAAAAATAATGACTTTATATATCTGCTTTTTGTCAGACTGCACAAAATGTGAATTCGTAATTTATTGATGCAAAGAAATTTAGCACTGCAGTTTCTGAAGTATTTGTTAAATGTATAGTAATTTATTTATTTGAACTTTTGGTAGAAGTCCTATTTTATTTTAATTATGTTATGAAGAGAAGAAAGCAAATAGATACTGTTATTAAACATGTCCAGTAGGCATAGTTTTGGAGTGTGAATAGTAGTTGGAACATTGATAAAATTGTTATATTTTGGGGAGTGACATGTAGTTGAATAATATTCTTGCTTGGCCACGTTGTAGATTAAACAGGCAGCTGTAATTTTTTTTCCTCATTATAAATGAAATAATTTATCCTCTAATTAGATAGGAGACTTTAATTTCTAACAAGTTGAAAACTTGTTGTAGCAGTAACTCTTTCTATTTGTTTGTTTTGTGGGTTGTGTATTTTACTGTTAAGGAGCACTAGCTGCAGTTTTATCAAACCAGTTCTGAAGCATCCAATCTTTGAGAATGGTGCTCTTATCCTCTGTTATAGACAAAATGTTTGTACCAGTGTAATGTAACATTTGAAAAGAAGAGCAGTTTTTGTTTTTACCTGTTATAGACAAAATGTATGTGCCAGTGTAATATAATCTTTGAAAGGAAGAGCATTTTTTTAATTGGCAGCAAACTTAATTAACTTTGCCATGTGACATTTGTAGCACAAATTTTTATTTCTGACAAAGTCTTGAATCTTTGTATAGAGATATGTAGGCCAGTGGAGGATCTAGTTTTATTGTGCTAGTACTCTGGCAGTTTTGGGGTACCATATTTACTTGAATATTAGACAATATTTTAATTCTGAATTAGACATTTATAAGGATTTTGAAATGTCTGATATTTTTGGTAGTCTGTTATTCGAGTAAATGAAGTATTGACTTGTTGCATTATTAGAATTACTAGTATCCTTCCAGTAGGCTGTGTTGTACTGATGTGAGGAGTGGGGGTCAGCCATTACTGTTCACTAATATGTCATGTTGCTTTACTGTCAAATGCTTTTGTGGTTGCAAGATATTGTCTGGTGGGGCATTTCTTTACTTCTAATTAAATACTCTTTGCCTCTTTATTTTTGCCCCCAGCTGTTTCAACTACAAAATATTGTAGGTTTGTCAAATCAGATGACAAAATTTGTTACAAGTCCAGAATGGATCAATAAGTAATACTAACATATTTGTATCTGCTGCACTGATGTAGCCATTTCAGACTGAAACTATTATGTACAGGTGTTTAAATTATCATGCAATAAAGTGAAATAGTTGTTTTGAAAATGATCACTGTGTTTAAATGTTTTGTAATGTGAATAAATTTTTATGGATTGTTATTATGCTGGAATGTATTTAGTCTTTCATATGCACTGATAAACCACTTCCCTCTGTAAATTTTGTTTATAAATTTGCCATAAACGTTTTAAGAAATGCTAAAGGAGAATGAAAGCACATATGCATTTATTACAAAATCTATAAGTAAGTACTAAAAGAAGTAATTGTAATTGAAGCTGAAATTTATTCAGCTAAATACTTTCTGACATTCTCATATATGGTCTGTGATCAGCTGGTCAAAGTGCTCTGATTCTCCTGTTTCTTGCTTTCACAGAATTTACCTTTACTGATGGTTTTAATATATGTTTAAATAATACTGAAATATTTGAAAAACTGTGTGTGAGTTTACAATAGTAATTTTCAGTGACTGTCCAACTCAACTATTTTGTTGCCTTTTATTATTCAATTGAATTACCTATGCATGTTAAACATGGCTGTATGTTAGAGTACTTAATTTTATATGGGATATTTGTGAAACACCGATTAATGTGAATGTTGACAGGGATTCAAGTATTCCTTGCACACCTTTATGACATGACAGCAGGAGCAAAGCACCACAGACAGTTACTGGCAAACAGCCTCATTCCTAGTACTGTCATATTTGTAATAACTACTTTACTACTGTCATATATAAAAAAATAAAGCCTTAATTATGTTTTCTCGAGATACTTCCATCCAGTGTTCAAAATTGAAATTAATAAATTACAGTATAATAAGAGTATAAATATGTATATTTTTCTTTGTCAATTTAGGTAGGCATGTTTATGGTTGCAGAAAAAAAGTATGGGACTTTGGTATGGTTTGAAATTGTTACGAAGTTACTCATAAATACATCAATTAGGAAGTTCTCAGTTATATATTAAGATATTTGACTATTTCTGTAGTATTTGAAATGACCAATTTCTAATTCAGAAGGACTGACATGTATGTAGGAAATAAAGTAACATTATGGGTTTTGGTAATGTTATGTTGTACTGTCCCATATTGTTCCTTTTGGAGCACTGCTATCCATGTTTCTCTTTTTTGGTTTGCTCTACACATTTTTATCTTGGAATTTATTGCATAACACTGAGGATGGAATTAACAAGTTGCAGTGGCATAGTTCAGTTCTCTAAATTATTGTTACTTTCAGAAACAGGAACATGCCCTGTTCTGATGTCTCATGACCATATGCCCTTGTTGTTGCTACCAGAAAACGATGGTACGGGTACTGGGACATTTTTTATCAGTTCTGTGACTTTGTACAGATCCTGTGTAAACTTCGCATAAAGACATAACAGCATTCTTGATACCAAGACACAGAATTAGACATTGTTTTGTCCCTTCTATAACTGATTGAAGGTTATTGGATTTTAACTAATGTTATCCTGTTACTTTTTTTCCATTGGCCTAATGGACATTGTTAACTGCTAATTATGCCATAGGGTTGATAAATGTAAGGGGCTTGATGTTATTTCTTTAATGACTTCATAGCCTATACATATTTCAACCTGTTTGTGTATTGCATGAGACTGCAGTCATTTCTGCTAATAGTTTTTGGATCCAGCAAATTGTATGTAATCTTATTTAAAAATGAATATGCTCTGGATGAAATAAAAGCAAATTTTATTGGGAGTTCTTAAAATTAATTGCATCTTCTAGGAATGCAATAACATAAGATGTGACATATCATTACTCACCAGTTTTGTTCCCAGTGTATTTGTAGAGTGGTTTATTGATCTTCATTTCTGTGGATTTAAAATTTGAATGGACTGAAATTATTGTCTTTCGCTTTGCAGTGGCACCACTTGTGTCCAGTATTCGCCGAAGCTTCAGTCGTTAATTAGCTCTAAATATGTAGTGAATGGAATCTGTATTATTTTCATCAAATGACAAAAATTTAGATCTAATACTTGGAGCTTTGACTTTCTCAGTTGTGTGGATTTCTAATGGTATTATAGAATTGTTGACAGAAATGATTGTAAACTTCATTTTATCCATGTCCTAATTTTTTGTCAACTTGAAGTTTATTACATCTCACTCTCAGAATGTATTAATGTTGTTTTAAAAATGTAATCTTTACTCAAAATTACCTTTTTCTCTTAATTTATTTACAGTACATATTAGAATTAGATAATGAGTGTCATGTTTATTATAATTTGCTGTTTCATTAGTCCTTAAATAATGGTTTTGGTTTTAAAAGTAACTGTATATCTAAATATTCTGCTATGTTTGTCACTATCACTAAAATGTTCATGTTCTTCCATTGGTAATCCCACAGAAGTAACAAATTAAATTACTAATTGTCTCAGCATATATGGTGTTTTCAATTTTAACTTTCCCACCTTAACCCTTTCCCACAATGTATGACATAAATGCAGTGCTATGGTAAAGTACCATAGCAGTGTGATATTGTGTCTCTGCAATAGACTACAGCCACTCCTTCCAAAGTCTTAGCAAGCAGCTGTAGAAGAAATACAGATAGGTATGCAATATGATTGTAAAAATATGCTCATGCAACATCTTTTTATAGTTTCTGAGATGTGAAGTCGTATCATAATTTCTTTGCCTCCAGTTAAACAGTGGTACTAATACCATGGTTAGAATCAGAGGTACAGATACTATTTCGGCACATTCACAACCCTGCAAAGTGCCTATTAAGTTTGCTTTGTCCATCTGCCTGTGTGTGTATAATAACTTTAGTACTGCTGGGTGGATTTGCATGATATTTGATATTAGAGAATTTTGTGAAAAATGATTTAGCCATTGCAGTTTTCATTTAGATTGGTAAATGTTAACCACTACTTTACATTAATACCTACATGTCTTTCTGTCCATATCTCAAGCATAATCCACTAAATATTTGTCGGAGAGACAAGTGTTTCTAACGGAACAATAAAACAAATCCAAATTATTAGAATAACAGGGTTAATATTCTTGGAGCGAGAGGGAAATAAAGCTGACAAAGGTCAAATCATCTGGGTACTCTTTTCATTAGAAGTTAATACTTGACCACCTCTGGAAAGCCATACCTCAAGTGAAGATATAATATTCATCAGATTCCATCTTGGGGACTCTCATTTTCTAATTAATGTTTTGAAAAAACAGCTTGGCAATCCTAGCGTTAGAATATATAATACTACATAACTACTACAAATGATTTTTCTGTGTAACATTTATGTTCTACAGTAAAATTCATTTAAACACATTTTAATCAGCCTGACTAGTTTCACGTGTATCCCAAACTCTATCAGAATATTGTAAAATACTTCCTTCCTAACTGAATAATAGGCTCTCTTGAAGTCTACAAATAGCTGTACTGTCTCATTGTACTCCCATTTTTTCTCCAGTATCTGGCAAATGCAAAAGATCTGATAAGTAGTTGATTTGTTACATTGAAACCCACACTGATGATCCCCAATAATTTCATCTACATTTCTATCTGCTCAACATCACTGACCCTATGTACATTCAATAACAGAGAAACCTAGGTATATATTGCTATCTCGTCAAAATGCAGGGCAAAATCATGGCGTAAAGATAGGTAACAGATATTTTGAAAATGTGTGCACAGTTCATATATTTGGGAATGAATATAACAAATCAAAACCTGATTCAGAAGAAAATTAAGAGGAGATTGAACTCAGGTAATGCTTGCTACCATTCAGTTCAGAACTTTTTGTGTTCTCATCTGCTGTCTAAAAACATAAAAATTAGAATACACAAAAATATAATTTTGCCTGTGGTTCTGTATGGGTGTGAAACCTGGTCTTTGACTTTAAGGGAGGAACATAGACTGAGGGTGTTTGAGAACAGGGTGCTGAGGAGAATATTTTAATCAAAGAAAGAAGTGACAGGAGGTTGGAGAAAACTGCATAATTGGGAGCTTCATAACTTGTACTCTTCTTCAAGTATAATTAGAATGAACAAGTCAAGGAGGATGGGGTGGTTAAGGAATGTAGCACGAATGGGGGAGAGAAGGAATGTATATAGGATATTGGTGGGAAAGCCAGAAGAAAGGAGACCACTGGGAAGACCAAGACATAGGTGGGTGGACAATATTAAAACGGATCTTAGAGAGATAGGATGCGATTATATGGATTGGATTGATGTGGCTCAGGTTATGGACCAGTGGATGGCTCTTGTGAACACGGTAATGAACCTTCTGGTTCCATAAAATCCTGGGAAGTTCTTGAGTAGCTTCACAATTGGCAGCTTCTCAAGAAGGGCTCAGCTCTATGAGTGAGTTACAGTAAAATTCATATTGCCTTACCATGTTGTCGCTAGGCTCTAGTCATGCAAATAAATTAAATGATACTGATCAGAACACAGATGATTAACAAAGGCCCAAATGAAAATTTACTGCAGTTCATTTCATTGTTGGGTTTGCTATATAGAGTTATGGATGTATACCAATATCACGATAAAAACAGAGATACAGAAAATTATAAGTATAGAATATAAATAAATCATAAAAGACAAGAATCTAGCTGCTAGTGTCTAGCGACTTGCATTTTTTGTAGAAAATGAACATTCTTACATTAATTTATTTTGAATTTCCCTCCACTATTGCCTGTCCTTGTTCTCAGCTGTTAAATCTCGGTGCTCAAATTCAGTGGCTTGTGACTTCTGGTCTAAATGATAATGTAAAAACGTAGTCCGCGGGGGTGGAAAAGCAAAATAGAGGTTGAGTATTCATTCTTCAGAAAATACATTGACGAAAAGACGAAGGTGAATAATTATTACTGCCAGTATGCATTATATACAGCAAAGTACCGGAAGAATTTACTTTTTACTTGTGCTGTTTACAATAGTGACATTATAGTTTGTGATCTCGTAGCAGGTGGGAAGTGTTAACATTTAAATGCCTCGTTTGTTTATTCTTCACGAGTAGCTGAGAAAGGTTAATGCTTAGATTTATTTAATAGAGGGTGCAGAAAAAGGTAACATTTTCGCAGGAAACCAGGAAGCATCGAACCCTTTACATGGATTTTATATTTGCTACAAAATCACAGTTTACATAATCTGGCCAAATTCATGTTTGACAGTGATGTATGAACGTAGCCGCAACCAATATTGTTTCAAAATGAGTGACAGTACACAGATGTGTAGGCCTGTTCATGAAATTGCTTATTGCATAAGCCGATTATGTAAGGAATTGTCTGACAAGAAACGTGAAATTGGAAGTGACGGATTTTATGGCATGATTGTATAATATTAGATTTTATGTACTTGAATACCCCTAAGATTTCTAGTATCAATTTTTAGCATTTATTTCTGTCTTAATGGCATTCTTTTGATGTACTAATATACTTTTGCACGCGTAGAACGTCAAGCTAATACATTCGGAATCTGTATGTATGAGCATTGATATCATTGTATGGGCTAATGTTTTGTGGGTATTGGTTGCAATAAGACGCAGGCAGCGAGCAGGGGTTACTTTCATGCCTGCTTCTTGCTGGTTTCCTATTTTGCTTACTCCTTAACCCTGAAGATGAAAGCAGTGCCTTCCTCAGAAACATCAGCGAATGTCTACCAGACTGCTCAGCCTTACTTTCTAGAAGATAGTTCTCTTTATAGTAACTGATGTGGTAACCTCAGATCCAACAAGAACAGTATTTGTCACACAGTTGTCTTTATCACTAATCAAGCAGAAGATGTATTAGGTCATTCATTGGGACTTTTATGAGGTTACTTTTGATGCCATTGCAACTGGGCATAACAGTATCTCGCATTTCTGAGGCATGCAAGCCTGCATAGAAAGATTCTTTGCACGTCTCAAATTCAGTCTCTCAAGTATCCACAGTTTCTGAAGTAGGTAGAAAGGAACAGTTACCCTGTTGTATAATAACAGAGCTTCCCATCAGACATGGGGCACAATCCATCTTGAGAAGGTAACAGTAACAAGATTACTCAAACAAATTCCTTGTCTTTCAGAGAACTTGAAGATTCATTTCTATTTTCACAAGAGCTCATCACTAATCTTGTCCCCAGACACATGCATCCAGTCCACATGTAATTTTCTTAAGATCTGTTTTAATATTAACCTCCCATCTATGACTGTGTCATCCAAGTGGTCTCTTCCCTTCAGGTTTTCCAGCCAACATTTTATAAACATTTCTCATTTGTCCTGTATGTGCCAAGCCAAGCCAGCTCAATTAGTATTTTGACAGGCTACAGGCTGCATGGCCAGGGTTCCATTCCTAGCAGGGGCAAGAGAATTTTTTTTCCTCCACATTGTTGGGATCATTTCTGGTGCCCATCCAGCCTTCTGTCCAGTAGTTAATGGGGGCTCTTTCCCTGCAGGTAAATTAGCCAGGGCGTGAAGCTGATCGTTCACCTCCATACAGAGATGAGATGAAGAATGGCAGAGCTATGCCTCCACTCCACAATACGTCTTTATGGCATGGTGCTTGAATCTCCTCATTACATAATTGTCTCCAGATTTCTGTTACTTCATTCTTCTTAAGTTCAGATATTTTCAGCATGTAGTTCCAGGCTCCCTGGAATCCTGTGTCCCTTCCCTTAGGATGAGAGTCTTAGTATTTCTCATCTTCCATCTGTATGTCCCACCCATCTCATCCTCCTTGATTTTATCACCTTAATAACATTTGGTGAAGAGTACAAATTATGGGGCTTCTCATTATGTAACTTTTTTTCATCCTCCCATCACTTCCTCCATCTTAGATCCTTGTATTGGCCTCAGCATCCTGTTTTCTGACAGTGATCATGTTGTGGTCACCTGGGCTATTAGATTATTCTGTTATCTGGTAGATAGATACCATCATTGTATCTTCATTTCTTTTATGGCTGAAAATTGTAGATCTTCTTTTCATTCATTTTCTTTCCTCAGTCCTCCTTATGGTCCGTACTTATATGCCATAATAGGCCATGCCGTAGCTAGGGCGGTTAGTCACCGGCTTCCCAACCTGGCAGCCCGGGTTCGAGCCCTGGTCAGGTTGTGGTATTTGTGGTAGACAAAGTGGCACTGGGGCAGGTACTTCGGTTTCCCCTGCAAATTCTCATTACATCAGCTGCTCCACATTCATCATCCAGGGTTGTTACCATAGCTTAAGCGATTAGTCGCTGGCTTCCCACCACTGTGATCTGAGCAAGTGGGATTTGTGATGGACAAAATGGCGCTGGGGCAGGTTTCCTCCGAGTACTTCGGTTTCCCCTGCCAATGTTCATTCCATCAAATTCTCCACAAATAAGAATGTAAAAAATTTTACCAATTGTAATTTTAATCTACTTATATATCAAATTGTTAATATTCAGAATTAACTTGACTTGTCATATATCATGTACAATGATCTACAGTGACGAAATAAATCAATCAATCAATCAATCATAGGCCAGTTAGCAGCTGATGTACTGAATGGACCCAGTCCCACCTCACCCCAAGAAATTATCTGCCATAAGTAGAACTGGATTGAAGGTTACCATTTTTGTTGATTTGATGCTGTGTGGTTTGGTAGAAAGTTCCCGGTATGTTGGAGGAAACTGCAGCCTTCCATCTTCAGGGTAAGAATTGTAAGATGCTTGGGAAAATGAGCTTACAGATACAGAGGAGAAAAGGAAAGGAAACCAGTCTCTAAGGGGAACAGTGGTCAGTAGAAATGGAGGAACGGATGAAAAGGATTTTATGAGGAGGAAAGGGCCGTGCCATAGCTGAAGCGGTTAGTTGCTGGCTTCCCACCGTGGCAGCCCGGGTTTAATCCCGGGTCTGGTCAAGTGGGATTTGTGGTGGACAAAGTGGTGCTGGGGCGGGTTTTCTCTGAGTACTTCGGTTTCCCCTGCCAATCTTCATTCCACCAATTGCCCCACAATCACCCTCACCTATCATCTGGGGCTGGTACAATAGGCCAGAAGTGGCTGCAGTACAAGGGACTTAGTCCCACCCCACTAGCAATAAAAAAAATGATATGAGGAAAAAAAGGAGGTGAGAAAATTGATTTTGAGGAAGAAAGGTAAAGGGGAAGATGTGATAGTACCCATGGTTTTTTGAGATGTATCAATGCACCAAATGTTGTTCTCAGTCAGTTGATCTACAGAAGTTTGTAACTTTCTACTGGACTACACAGTGTCATCCCAGAACACAATCCTCATATTTACTGCTGTGAGAATTTCAAATCTCACACAGAAACGGACTTACTTTAAAAATGACTCAGCATGAAAGTTATCAGAGAAAATAATTATTGAGACATAATTCTACAATGTAAGATTTGAGGTTTTCATGGCCATGACTATGAAGAAAGCAGTCTTCTGTAGGTGTGGTGTTAACCGACGTTTCGGAGGAACGTCGGTTAACAGCACACCTACACCGTGCCACATCCCAGAAGACTGCTTTCTTCGTAATTCAACAAGTTTGTTTTTCTTTTGTAGGAATCAAGGATAAGAAGAATTAGTTTGGTCTACAGGGTTCAGTGGTAACTTTCTTTTTTCTGCTCTCATTTTTATAAGTCTGAAATGATTGCTTGTTAGGAGACAAAATGACATTTCTGTGGTGCTTTAATGTATGAATGCAGTTCCCACATAACCTGTCTTGGGAAAACTGCCAGTTTGTTGTTGTTTTGTTTCCACTCTGAATCATTTTATTGTTTGTTATTGATTCTGTTGGCCTTGGACAGAGCTGGATAAAACCATAAAAGCTGATGAATTTAATGGGGAAAAAAAAATACATTTAAAGACAAAAGAATTATGGAGTAGTCAGATGTGTATAGTCAGACTATTATCATGTGTTTAGCTTTAGATGAATTTTGATTTTTCAGGTAATCATGTTAGAAATGTAAAGAAGCTGAGAACATATTCTTCATGTAGATGTTAATATGACTTCAGCTAGCAGAATTCAACAGTTGTGGGAACTTTTTGTCCAAGCTGAACATTCATCATATGAGGTGAGTTTCTGCTTCTTGTGAATTGTTTTTTTACTCCTTCACCTTGTAACATACCGTGGAAATGGTCTTATTTTCAACTTCACCGTGTATAAGTGTAATTAATACGCTATCTATGAAAGGAACTGTGCCAGTTATCAGTTGTTTAAGACAATTTTTGTACAAAATCAGCCCTTTAAAATGATGGAAAATTAAAATAAATTCTTCTCCCTTTTTTATCCTTTTCCTGTTTCTTTTTCTTGCATTTCCTCTCTGCTCTTATGTCTCTTCTTTATGCTTCCTAGTACCTGGCTGAGCTATCATATTCTTAGATGTCCCATGGGCCTCTTTTCTTTACATCTCAGTTCTAATGGCCTTATTATCTGTGTTCTTGTCTAAAGTTCTGTTAAACCTTTATTTCAATAACTTTTTTTATAAAGAAGAAATCCTGGTAATGTGGATGTATGACTGCATATTGACCTGCATGAACAAAAAGCTTTGAGTTAAATTATAGAAATTTGATGTTTACATAGGAAGCAGTGTTGAAATCTAGTGGCTTGTTTTTGTGAAAGATCCTAATGTCTTCACTACTTTTAAATTGTCTATATGCCGTACATTTACAGTGACTGAAATCTTTACAGAAACAAGCATGGCTGGATATTTTCCTGGCAGAATTCTTGGCTCAAATAAAAGAAGGCAAAACTGTTGAAGAAATACTGTCATTTTGGTAAGTACAATGGGTGGTCATTAATATAAAATTTACAGTTTTTCCAGGTATATATCATTGATATTAGGAATCTGCAGATAACTAGATTTTCATGCTGGAAGTAACTTCAACTTCTTAAATATGGCTTTGAACTTTCTCATCCCCCAGCTACAGAAATTGTACTGTCACTGCGCACCTCAAGTCACATGTATTTTATATCATTGTTACCACTCAGGTTGGTGTAGTGGTAATGTCCTTGACTTATAGTAGAAGGACATCTATAGTTTGAATCCTTGAGTGGGTTTAGTGAGCATTTTGGTTTAGACGTAAGGCTCCACACTTACATTTTTGAGGTGCATGGTCTGATTCTTGGCCAAGATACTGGGTATCCTGACAGAAGTTTCTGTGGGTTTTCTCAGTCACTCCCAGGCAGATGCCAGGATAGTACCTAGAATAAGCCATGACCACTTCCTTCCAAATCGCTTCCAGTTCATTATTTGCCAATGATAAGAGCTGGGATAGCACTGTCAGTATGGTGAGTGGCTACGGGCTGGACGACCAAGGGGTCGGATTTTGAGTCCCAGTGCAGGCAAAAATTTTCGCTTCCCCATGTCGTCCAGACCATCTCTGGGACCCACCCAGCCTCCTGTCCAGTCGGTACCGGGGGCTTTTTCCCTGGGGGTAAAGCATCCTGTGCGTGAAGCTTACCACTCACCCACAACTAGTGCGAAGGTCAATAAAACATGGATCTATACATCCACTTCCCCATACACCTTCATGGCGTAGTGCTTAATTAGTTAAGCACAAGGACAACTTTATCTTTTTGGCTTGCCTTTTTATTAATCAGTGGTAGTATCATTTGACACTCTGTAGACTAGGCACTACAAGCATCATAATATAACACACTGGTCCTTGCCCATGACTAGGTTACTGTAAATTCTGACTGAACTGTTCATGGTTTTTCACACAATTTATGTAGCTGAATAATCGGGTAGTACTATGAAATAAGGGACACAGCCGTCTACTTCCAAATTCTTACCTATTCATTAAGAATTTGGGTACATTAGCAATTTTTGTTCAATTTATTCTAATTGAAATCAAGTTTTATTTCAACTTGTTACTGGAACAGGTGCCTTCATGCTTTTATAGTAGTTTGCTGAAGATCACATTTCCAAATGGTGACACTGTGTGGTGAGGAACTGGTTTGTGGACATACCAGAAAAAGATGATGACCTTGAAAAGAGATCAGTTTCCATATGTGCATTCATTGGTGTGTATATACTTAAGATTCTCCAATCAGAACATGGAGTTCTGTACTGGTCCATAGCCCAGTATTATAAATATGAGTGTATTAGATCTGTTACTTTGCTTTCAACATGAAGGCTACTGAACAAGAATAGTAGTTGATTCTGTAGCATTCTGATGATGGTAGATTATTGGTTCAGTGGTGAGACTAGATCTTTCTGATGGGCTTATCTGTGCAGGATCTTTTCCTTCCATGTGCTGTATGATGATAACAGATGCAGTTTCCAGAATGCTGTGTTTGAAAAACTCAAGGCGATGTACAATATCCAAAATAATAGTTGTGTTTATTTTAACACATCATGTGATACCCCTGTTTGGCACTGTAAACTCCTTTGGTTTGTGTGTAATAATCTTATATTGCACAGATGTATTTTTGGTATGAAATTTCCCTACAGATCCTATACAGCAGCCCTGTCCAACACGGCACCCGTGGTATATTTTTCTGGCGCCCTCCGTAACCACATAATTGAGCCGATTTTTAATATTAATTCACATTTTAAGACAAGACGTTTTTGAACGTCTGAGTACTATTAAATATTTTCGAAAAATTTTATTATTATTATTGTTTTTATTATTATTATTTCAAAAGAGGCAATCCTGCTTGTGTGAGCAACTACAGACCCATTACCCTTCTTAACAACTTCTCTAAGCTCCTCGAATTCATTATTCACGATCATATTTCGCATTACATTAAACTTCATCCCAACCAGCATGGCTTCACCAAATCCAAATCCACAGCCACTAATCTGGTATCCTTCCTAGATATTATGACCCCTGTTGTCTGCAGTCAGCGTCAGGCTGATGCTGTCTATTTTGATTTTTCTAGTGCCTTTNGGTTTCTCTGAATCATATTTTACAAGCATGTACCAAACCTTTTACGGTGTTACTTGATTAGTGTTTTCATTCACTACAAATATGTGTTACCTCGGCTAGCTTTAATTATTCTTATGTAATTGGTTTTAATTTATTGACTGGTTATTAATTTTATTAATTTTATGCTATCACTCACTGGTGTCTTATCTTAGTATTTAGTTACTAACAGTATTAGCAACATTCGTAATATTTCATAAATGTATGTATATATTTCAGTCTTCTTTAGATCTATGTTCACAGATTTATTTGTCGTATTTGTATTTTGTTTTAATTATTTTGTACCTTATATACTCGTGCTAACTTTGTAATTGGCCGCTGGGCTGTTAAGTTATTGCACGTAAATAAACATGAATTGAATTGAATTGAATTATTAGCAATAGTAGTAGAAGTACTAGTAGTAGTAGTGTGTGGTGGCGCCCGCACCTCCATAGGCATCAGTGAATTGTGCCCGAGTACATAAGAACGTTGGACAGCACTGCTATACAGGGTCATTCACTTGGAGGAGACCCCAAATTAGTAACCGTAAATCACACAGTAATTTTCCAATGAAAATTAAATTTGACAGCAATGACCTGGCGCCTCCCTTCTTGGTTTTGCATCCTTTCCTTCGGTCTGTGATTCCACATATTGTGCGGCACATTGATGTATATAAACATGGAGCATCATGTTGGTCTCTGTCTTCAGGCGGACAGAAACCAATTTCAGCTTCTTCTGTAACCCAGTTTTTTCGATATCTACCGAAGTATATACTTACCAAGTTTAGTTTTCAGCAGTAAATTATCGCACAGTTTATGATTATTAATTTGGAGCCTTGTTCAAGTAAATAACCTTGTATCCAGTTCATTTTTGCTGTTCCTTTCAGTGCACATGGAGCTGTAGCAACTTTAATTGGTTGTGAGCTATTGTCTGATGTCCACAAAATTTGCTCAATACCCGGTGATGGGGAAGATCTATCTTTGTTGCGCAAACACTTTCTGCAGGGACGTGGTTGGCGCAGTTTGGCAGCACTTCAGTGTCTTGGGGTCCAGGTAACATGTCTCCATCTGTGTGTGTGTCGCTGCTTATCTTTAATACGTGTATTACACGTATTAAAGATAAGCAGTGACACACACACACAGAGCATACACAGAACAATACCTGAACAGCGATAAAACAAGAAGTGGCCGTTGCAGCACTATAGACATAGGGCGTGTACCCCGAGAAAATTTTAATTTTTAAACAGAAAAGAAGATTTATAGACATTTTAATTTGAATTGAAGTTTTAAAAAAGTGCCAATTTTAGAAATCAAATTGACGCGTGTAGGTTGACAAAGATTTTATGCATACATACAATTGGAAAGACTGATGATTTTAAATTTTAAACTACAGGCAGTGTAGCAGATACGTAAGAATACACACCTGATGATGGCCATTTAGGGCCGAAACATGTAGTGTGGAGGAAGGGAAGAAGAAAGAACTACAATAAAATTGTTGCACTTAAGACGGAGTTTGTCTCATATATGTTCATTGTTCATTTATTTCAAATTCAAGCAGATCCAGAAACAGGTTGAGAAGTAGAGTCACAAACCCTTGGATATAGAATGTGTCATATATCAGAACAAATGTTCCAGTCAATCATTGGAACAAGTCTACATAACATAATATGAAATATGCATAACACGGACGTAGAACATAAATGAATATGGTTAAAAAAATAAATGCAAATGAAAAACGTATTTAACATTTATATAATAAAATGGTGTGAATACCATTTCTGAATTGTACCCTTGTATGTGTTTTGTATAGTTATTTGCTTTGTGTGTATTCCATGTAAGTAGTTCTCATCGTACAGTCAACAAGTTGCAACTCTATCAGCATTCCTGCAAACTCATTCCCACTGGTGAGGAACTGAAACATACCTAAGCATTTTACACATACATATAGGCAGAGAATTTTGAAATTTCTAGCTAGAAAGACTCGGTGAAGCCAGTTCTGTCTATATGCAGTGCAGAGACAAATGAAGATAGACACTGCTATGAGAACCTCATATCTCACATAGAAAAATTCTCAGTGCTGAGATGAAATTTGATGAAAAAAAATCAGTCATAGAACTTGACAGTCATTTGACTCTCACAAGAGTACATGAGATAAAATGAATAAAATGAATGAAAAGAATTGAAATCAGAGAAAACAAGGCAATCTTCTGTTCAAGATTAAAAGATTAATTTATGAAGAACTAATTTTAAAAGATTAATTGATAAGACAAAATAACTGTTAAATAATTTGTTGATAATCGATATAATCTTTATTCATTAAGTGTACATTTATTTTCAGAACTTGTCATGTGGGCGAGAATTGGCAAGCTTGCTTATTTCACTCTATCCCGTGTGTCTCCAGAAATTGGGCCCAGAACAGAAAGAAAACATGAAAGTGGAAAATCCTTTTATTACATTTTCGAAGGATTCTTGTGGTATGGATGATATCACCAGGTAACGTAATTTGCTTTGCTGTACAGCCTAATGCAATGAGAGAGCCCCCTTGAAATATCTGTGACACTGCATCTTATTGAATTCTGACTTTCAAGCCGTTGTGACCTTAAGACCAGCTACACCCCAAAGTATGGTTTAATTAAACACTATGTTTCATTTTTTAAGCATTATTTTTATTAAGACATCTATAAGTCCATAAATTAATACCAGAAATTCCTTTCTTCATTAAAACGTGTAAATATTGTGACAGATGGCCACAGTAAATTTTTGACTAGAATTTCTTTGGGATTTCTACACACTTCATGAAATTGTTAGAAGTGATACAATTTGGACAAATTATTCCGTAAGTTGTACGGAAGTTGTTGCTTGAATTGGGTGTTTGTTTAAGGAAATGGTAGATATAAAATGTTGTAAGGCAGTTTTTACTTAGATATGTTTTTTTTTAATTTTGTCTGACCATTTATAAGATCTTATATACTAGATTCATGATATTATTTAGGTATCATACTACTACATAATAAAACTATCATCACTGACTTTATTTCATTTGATTAGTGAGTTTTATGCTTTTTTCATTTATTTTATGATGCTATTTCAGCTGTAATGATAAGTGGAATCATGACTGAGTGATGAATAGAGAAGAAGTTTAAGAAAACAATTATGGCCTCTTTTTAAGTACTCTCCTGTCATTTTGCCTGGGGAAAAATGAGGAATGCCATGAAAATCCATGTTCAGAATAAGCAACTAGAAATTGAAATTGAAATTGAGCTTCTGGAAGTATGAAGCAGGAATGCTAACCTGAAACATTCAAGTACTAGTCAGTCCTTCCTGTCAGACCAGCACCTTGCTCTGAGATGTAAGGTTCTCACAGCAGTTAACTGTGAAGAGTACTGCCTTCTGCGATGTGACGCTGTGCATTGAGTAGATCATGGTAAACTTTTGTAGGTACCTGCAGTTTATTAATTATTAGTTAACCGATTTTGTCATTGTCACCTTGCTATAAGTAACTGACTAGTGTAGACCCATAGTTATTTAGCTTCCAAGGACTAAGGTAAAAAAAGCGGTAAAGTTGACCCTGTGCGTGTAACTAATTAAGCAGTACGCCGTGAAGGCATATGGGAGAGTGGATGTATAGATCCACATTTTCTTAACCTTAGCACTAGTTGGTGGTGAATGATAAGCTTCACACCCCTGCTGCTTTACCCCTGGGGAAATAGCCCCCAGTACTCTTTGGATAGGAGGCTGGGTGGGCCCCAGAGCCAGTCTGAATGCCATGGAGATGGGAAAATTCTTGACTCTACTGGGACTCCAACTCTGACCCCTCTAGCTTCCAAGGTGTGAATTTTTTTAAATGCAGCGCTGACATTCAAAATAAATCATAATAGTGGCCAAAAATGTATACCTTTCCTATACATTTTTTTGACCATCAAAGAACACATGGCTGTATGGCTGGGTTTTTGTTAGCATAAGAACTCCTCCGAAGATGAAGCCTCATCGCACTGTGCACCAAGGCTTGTGTCTTCCAATGAGAGCTGAATTCATGCGTAGCCATAGTAACACGTCGACCAAGACAAATCGATCAGGTCGTCGAACTAGGACACCAGTGAAAGGTGGTACATCACCAGTAGTAACAAGTGGCGGTATGAATGGGGAGGCAACAGCGGCGACTAGTGATTCCGAACACTGTCTTGGAACTGAGAACCATCTGGAACAACTTAACAAATCCAGTACTCTTAGGTAAGATGGACCCATTAACATTTTAATGCAAGTTTTGCATTGGATTCTTAATGGATTGTACCTTTCCCAGCTATCTCTAAAGTAGAATTTATTGTACACTTGTATACATTTAATATTTAAGAAAGTACCTATAATTATAACTGCATCAGCAGTCAGATTTTAAGTTGAAGAACACTGTCTTCTCAGATGTAAGAGCATGCAGTCCAGCAGAAGTCCACTGATGTTTTGGAGAAATATTTCCTTGTTCAGGGTAGAACAGTAAGTAAAATAAGAAACTGGGAAGAAGCATAACTCTCATTGCTTCTTCAGAAGGTTATTTTAGTTGGAAGTGTCTGTACAGGTAAATATCTACAGGCTGTTTCAAAATGGTGAACCCTATTTGAAATTGCTATATATCTGCAACCGCAAACCACCCATGAATGAAACTCTTACTGCTTGAAAGGGTTAGGGATAGAGTTTCAAAAGATTACCACCAGATGCCTCTCCCACCACATTTCCTAAATGCATCACTGCCTCAACATTGGATAGGGCGCATGGTGCCCCAAGACTTGGCACTACGGTTTTGGCCCCCAAGATCTCCAGACATTACACCCTGCAACTTTTTCTTGTGGGGATATGTCAAAGACCAAGTTTTTGTGCCACCATGAGCGACTAACCTGGATGACCTCAAAAACAGAATAACGGCAGCGGTGACTTCAGTGGAAGAAGACACTTTGAGAGGCGTTTGGGATAAATTCAGCTATTGTCTCAGTGTTGTCCGTGCAGCAGGTGGAGGGCACATAGAGCATTTATAAAAAAAGTTAACAAAATCTAATAACTTGTTAGACCATTTGTGACCTTTCCTGTAATTGTATAATTGTAGCATGTTGCCATCATGAAATATATGGCTATGAAATTGGGTCCATCATTTTGAAACACGGTGTATATCAGTATTATGCTGAAATTTTAAGCATCCATTCATATTTGTTTAGGATTTGGCTGGACCCAATGGACTTTGACTACTTCACTTCAGTGGTGCGAAGTGAGGATGAAGCCAGATTGGACAGACCTGACTACACTCCAAGCAGAAGAGGTAGGGAGTTGATTAGCCTTATCTGTATTATGAAGTTGGAGCAGTATTGGATTGAGTTACATGAAGATTTCACAACTTAGCATGTATTCACTGATGCTATGTTATAATATTACTATTCCATTCTTCAGTATCTCACAGCATATATTTACCAATGATCAGTTAGCCTCTCCCACCATGAAACTAGCCTAAGGATGGGAACAGTTAAAGAGAGGAATATTATTTTGATCTAAATTTATGCAGTAATTGCATTCCAAAAGTGATTGCAGAACTCAGAAACATTTGCTATTCATTTTATTTCACAGCCTTTAATTTTCATTGAAAAATTCAGAATTAAATTCAGTTTAATACCATTATTTTTTGTTTTAGACAGATTATTTCATTATGTTTTAGACTTTACTAGGAGTTAATAGCCATAAATCTTAATTTGTAAATGTCTGTAACAAGGTTATGGCCCTGGGATCGACTCAGCCTCTAACAGAAATGAGGACCAGGAATATTCTTGGAATATTCTTGGGGTTAAAGGGTGGCTGGTGCATAAGGCTGACAACCTTGCTGCCGTCTATGAGCCGATTGTCTAGAAAATGTGGGAACCTCAACATCTCACAAACCTATGGGCATCCGCAGCCTGTTACAGGGATACCTTTACTTTTACTGTAACAAGGTTACACTGAAATTTGTATTTAGTCAGTCTGTAATGGTTTTTATTATGTTGGTTTGTTGATTTATTATTTACTGTAAGTGTTAATAAAGAATTTTCTTTGCAGGAAGAGGGGATAGAGTGTTAGATTCCAGAAGGTCTCCCAGTCCAACTGACTTTGAGGATTCAAGAACCAAAGAGGTTTTTTCCTCAGAGATCCACTGTTATGAGTTTTTTCACCTGGTGATTGACTTGGTGAGGAGCCTGTGTGGGGCGGAGCTGAATGGCATCTCTGCTGTAGCAGCCAATGGAGGACAGTACATCTCTTTACAAGCTGTTAACTTTGCCCTTGAGAACCTGTGCACACTACAGTTTGGAGGCAACACAAACATCAGTCTAGTCACAACTCAGATTGCTGAACTGAAGGCAGCCATGACTCGTCTCCTGCTCACGGCACTAGAAAAGGTTTTTGGATCTTTTTTTTTTACAACCAAACATATTTAGTTATTGCTTTGAAGTATGCTAATTTCAAAATATGCATTGAAGCTGTGAATTATGTTATTCCATCTTTGCTGCATTTCTGTTTCATAAAGGTGTTCATGATTAACTTCTTAACTCTGCATTGAACTCAGTCCGTAATCGCTTGTGGAGCTGTACTTGCTGTGGTGTAACCCACCCTTTTTCAACCATGCAACTTGGAATACTTCGCAGTACAACTAGTATTATATTGTATGTTTATTATGTTAGGAGTCAGGATAGCTCAGTCATATAGCAACAGGCTATGGGTTGGATGACCAGGGTTCGATTCCCAGCAGGTTAAGGTTTTTCTCGTCTCAGTAGTGTTCAGACTGGCCCTGGAGCCCACCCATCCTGCTATCCAGTGGGTACTGGGGGGTGATTTCCCCTGGGGTAAAGCGATCTGGGTGTGAAAGCTGACCATTCACCTGTCTAGTGCTGAGGTCAAGAATGGTGGTGCTATACCCCTACTTCCCTATGCGTCTTCATGGCATAGTGCTTAATTCATTAAGAAGATGGACAACTTAATCTTCTATATGCATCATATTGCTGAGATTTTGATCTATTGAATTCCAAAAGAAATATTTGTATTTACAAAATTGAGGTTGAAACTACTTGGTTCAATTTTATGAAAAAAATGAATATGGAGGGATATGAATTTGCTACCTGAGCACATGCAGTGGAGAAGATGGTTAGATGTCAAGTATTTTGCTGTGTCTCTTACTCAGTGCTCCCCTCTAGACGACATTCCAGCTGTTACAACAGTAAGAATTCAGCTTTCTAGTTTATAATACTCAGAAGCTTCACGCCATTGAAGTCAGGGTATCTAGTGGCACATTATACCCATTAAATTATCATTGGACCTTCACAGAACCTTCTGGGATTCCCAGTGAAAGGGTTAAGAAGCTAATAGTTGTTCACTTAGAAGTTCTGTGGAGCCCAAAGGTTCATTATTGTGTTCACAAAAGCCCATCACTTGTCCCCGTCCTAGAATAAATGTCCAGAGACAAATTAAAACAAATTAATTGATCATGTATGTTGTAGAGAGCTGTGCTGTAGCTGCAAATGAAGCAGGTAACAGGGTCTGTATGTCTGACAGTGATTTTCTTTGATTTAATTCTTTTGGTAAATTTGGTTAATAGGTAGTGACAGTCATTATAAGCTTATGTTTGTCCTGTATCTACTATGGAGTAGAATATCTTATAGTGTACATGCGCTACATCTCGTTATTGTTTTCCTTCACTTTTTATTTGTTTGTGATATCTCTGTAATTGGCTCCTGCAGCACCTTAGAGGGACAGGATGGGTTTCTATGGACTTGATTGATCTGAAGGCTTTTATAACATGGTGAAATGTTTGGAAATTCTTGAGTAACTGCACAACTAACAGCTTTTCAAGAAGGACTTAGTTCCATGGAGTTTGCTATTGGGTTATCATGTACATGTAACTAACTGAATTGAATTGACTTGAAGAGAATGAAACAGCTGATACCAGTGGCTTAACAAAATGTTTCAGATATTGTTGCACCCAGATGCAACTACAGCTGCAATCTGCAATGGTATGTTGCCTGTGATGCTGAAGATATTGGAAGATGCTGTCAGAAAAATGGATGTTGCAGTACCAGACTCAGATCAAGGATCTTTCGAAGATCTACAGGCTGTCAATAAATTGCTGCAAGAGTTTATATTTGGGATAGCATATGGTATCCTTATGTTTCTCTATTGTCTTCTACTGCAACGTTCGACTGTTGACAAGTTTCAAGACTTCCTGCAGCTGTTCCAGTTGTTTGCAGAAAGTCACGGAGGGCGACTTATTGAAAAGACCATAGTTGCTTTACTCTCTCTCCCCCATGTGGAAGCAAAATTGTCTGCTTCCAGAGCAAAGAAGGTGATGAACTTTAACAAACTAACAAACTAACCAACCAATTTTGTGGAGATGAGCCCTTCTTGAGAAGCTGCCAGTTGTGCAGCTACTCAAGAACTTCCCAACATTTTATGGAACCTGAATGTTAATTTAACAAGTTAGGAAATTTAGGCACAGCATAAAAATTCTGGCAGTTTCACTCTGTTACCTGGTCAGTAACAGAGCATTCATGAATACTAATTTCTGATGCTGCCCTATAAATAATATAAAACAACAGGAGTTTGATGAGCAATGACCTCCAATATAAAATTGGTCATAAATTGTGTGATGGCTTTAAGCTGTGAGTTGATATCATAAGAACCTCTTTTGTTTATTTATCTGAAAAGCTAAAAAAAAAAAAGCATTTTAAACAAAATATATATAATTTTTCTCTATGACTTTTGTTTGAAACATTGTCCTTTATTATTGTCCACTTTTAATCAAAATTTGAACATGTTAACAAATTTTAATATAATTCCCTGAACTAAAATTGAATGAAAATCCATTCAGCACATCATTGGTTGTTACCTCTGTTATTTCCGTACATCCATAAGTAATGAAAGTCGATCAAATTCAACTGGTTTGACAGGGGTTTGAGCGCAGGTGTGGTCATGTGAGATTTATGGCGAACAAAGTGGTGCTGGGGCAGGTTTTCTCCGAGTGCGTCAGTTTCCCCTGTCAATCTTCATTCCACCAATTGCTCCACAAACACCATCACCTATCTGGGGCCAGTAGTGGTCGCAGTACCGAGTGCACTCAAACTCACCCCACTGAGAATAATAATAAAAAAATGTTACACTTGATGGATTTCTGCTACTTATTTATAGATTGAGAGGTGTAATGGTTTGAGATGTCTCTTATAAAGATGTTCCCATATTTATTAACAGGATAGTCATTATACGATAATAACATATTCTGAAACAAAATTTTCCATGATGAAACCTTTTGAAATTGTAGTTTATTTTTTTGTTTCTGCTAAAAGCTATTCATTTATGTACACAGTTACTTTTAAAATGTAGCATACTAATGGTCAGAAGGTTTGCTTACACCTTTTCATGTTTATGTGCTAATTTTATGCACCTAGCTTTTATAACCTTACTTTTAACATTCCCTTGTACTTTGCAGGTTATTGATCTGGTTGGTCAGCTTGTAACTGCATTGAAGAAGGTTCGTGCTGAGATTGTCCATTCTCATCATTGCTGTCAGGCTCGACACAAACGTTGTATGAGTCAAGCATCAGTTGGACTGCATCATCATTATGACTTGCTTGGTGGACCATTCTGCCCGACTTTGGTAGGGCCTCGACAACCTACATGTTGTGTTGCATCTCTCTTCATGGGTCTAGTTCGTATCTTGACAGGGTCTAGCTCAACAATAGACATCCGTCCACATGTTATGCGAGTGATGACCCTGTGTGGAACGTGCTGCTGTTTCCCAACTCGAAACATCATCAGTCCATTGATAGATTTATTTAAAAATGGAAGTAGTGGTAAAGTTCGAGCACTAGGTTTTGTTTTATTGGAAAGAACAATCTATTTGGAATTAGGTATTATCTCAAAACATGAGTCTACTGTTTCTTGTGTTTTCTGCAGTGGAAATATTATTTCAAAATCAGTACAATCCCCTATGTCTGAGCATTCAGCAGAGGAATTGCTTTATGAAACTGTCGCTCGAAACAAAAGTGGTCATTCACCAGATGGAAAAAGTTCTTCAAGTACAGACTTAAAGAAAGCTGACAGTGATATTGAGGCAGTATCAAAGCGCTCTTGGGAGTGTTTAGAACTGTTCCGTGAACTTGTGCAGTCTTCTGATACAAAATTAAGCCATGCCATCACATCCCATCTACTCAAGGTAGCTCCGCGTTGCACTCCTCCTGTTAAACATCGCTTACTATTTAACGTTTTCTATCCTGTTTTCATTGCTGCCAAAACCTGTTGGCTTGAGTCCTCCAGTTCTACTGATGATGTCTCAAATGCAAAGTTTAACATCCTTTCTTGTTTGTCTGCATTCTCATGTATACTGTCTGGAAATGTTGTATTTGCAGAAGAATTTGTTGTCAAGTACAATGGCCTCAGCCACATGCTGGAACTCATATCTCTGCCGCCATTTTCCAAGCTTTGCTGTTCCATTTTAGAGGTAACGTCAATTGTCGAGATTTGGAAACTTGAGTGTGAAAGTGGAGACACTGTGGGTGACGTGGGGAAGCTGCCCTCTTTGTGTATGCTTCAGGAAGCAGTTCAGTCAGCCACTAGTTGCATTCTTCTTGCACTTGTTCGCAATGATATTCCAGTAACAATTCCACAAGAAACTAAAAGTGAACCTAATTGTTGTGAAGCAGCAGAAAATATGTTGGATGCCAGCAAGACTGATGAACTAAATGAAATAATGTCAGTAAATGAAGAAGATAAAAAGTTGGAGTTTGATAATCTCTCTTGTGAAATTGGAGATGAGTGTAACATGTGTAACACTGTTGATAAGCAGAATGGAAAAAGTTATGTGCAGTTGTTGGCAACTGTGTGTGTATTTTGGCGCACATGTGCCAATTTGGTTCTGTGCAGTCCACAGTATAGACGACATCTGTCACAAAACCCGCTTGCTTATGATGGATTTAAACTTCTCCAGATTCTGCTTGATAGGGTGACGTCCAAGCAACAACCAGGTAAGCTTCACTTTGTGTGCACTTAAATATCTAATAAATTACCCAAAACTGCTCCCATTAAGTGCAATGTTTTTATCGTACTCTTCAAATAAATGTATCGAGTTTTATCAAATGATGATAATAAAGCCTTTCTTCACTTGCTGCCGATTATTTCATAGTGAAGAGTGAGTTATTTTTTTAAAAATGGATCTTGTCAGTTTTTTTAAATGTTAGTTTGCATCACAATAGTTTTTTTTTCTGAATTATATTCTTCCATAAAACTCATTATTTGTTCTTTTTTGTAACTTTGTATTAATTATTTAATTCTGACATTTTCATGTTCCTGTAAAATAATTTACAGTATCTCTTCCCCTCTTCTAAGTGAAAAGTTTGGTGGACAGATGATCAGCTGTATTTCATGATATGTCCAGAGAGGGCCCACTCTTTATTCCATTTCCATAATTCCTACTTAAAAATTCACTCTTCTTTAAAGTATTAATTCAAGTTACACATCAATATGAAAAAGGGTTGTGTGTGTCACTTCTGAGTATTTGGATCATGGTGGGGATTTAGGAATGTCCTGTCTCCATCTTTATCTGGCAACAGGTTCCTCTCAGATGATGGTGCCAACCTGCTAGGCTACATGGCATCATAACCCAGAACACTGAAATCAAAATTTTCAGTACCATGAAAATTTCAGTTCTTATATGTAGTTATAACACTTAGAAAATGGTTCTTATGCAGTTTAGGAGTGAATTTTATAACTTTTTTGTTTGTAGCATTCATAGTTTTAAATAGGAAATACTGTCACCTTCAGCTTTATTTTTATGTGTTGGACTTAACCCTTTTTTCTGCATATTATATAAATATTCAATTTGTACCTTACAGGAAACAGATTAAGTCCATGCTACAAATATCAGCTGGTTAATACTGTTAAGGGAACAATCACTGTTTACTGTGAGAACCACATGAAACATACATACAAATACACTCTGTGGGCAGAATGCTGAGTTTTAGTATGTTAAAACAGATGATGCATAAAATAACCACTAGGCTTTAAAAGGTTAATAACATGATTAAACTATGGCAAATAATAGAAAACAGTTGCAGTACTTGGACATAGAGCAAAACCATTTTTATTAATTTCTGTTATGTAATTGTAGCTGCTATGTGTGTAATAAATATTCTTCCATTCTACAAAAAAATGAATGATTTGTGATATTCTCAAATATATAGTATTAGTTTGTTTATGCTGTTATATTATAGCTATGCAAATTATTGAATTTTAATTTTAGGTATGAAACTGGTAGCCTGCCCAGTTGCAAGCCATTCAGAAAGTTACTTATGCATGAAGCTGATTGAATCCACATTGATTGTCACCCTGACGGCTCCTCCTGTTCTTGATGAAACTGGTATGACAACCATTAACTCTTATTTTATGTTTGTTGAAGTGGTTTTACATTTTTTTTTGTACACCTTACTGGATGAATGCTGGAACTGTTTTGAGGCCAAGGAACAGATAATTTATTACTCCAGAAAAATCCACCTTTTGGTAAATCTGTATACTGAACAGTGAGAAAAGCTTATCAAATGAATTTATTTATTCTTAGTTTATTTAATGACACATCCAATAGCTGAAATTATATAGTGCCTCATGATAGCATCATTAGTGAATACCGAATTGTAAAGGGTGAGGAAGGAAATGGTTTTGTTCTAATTTGACATGGCCACTGTGGTATTTGCCAAAATGGGCTGAGGAAAAGCTCTTGGGATAGGTCATGTTAACCATGATTTGAGTGTGGGACCTCACAGGTATGAAGCAGGTATTGTACCATGTCAAATTCTCAGGTGACATGCAGATATATTTGAATGTGGAAGTTGATGTATAAAAATCAATTCTAGAAATTAATTTATTCGTTCTGCCACAGTCATTCACGTGTTTGTGTTATCTATGTCATTCCTCTATCACTCTCACACTTTTTGTGGTTTATAAACTGGGTCAGAATTACAGAGAGGGTGTTGCAGTGGAGGAAATAAAAATACAATATGACTTTGCCATAGAAATTAGGGTTTGATAAGGACAGGTGTATGCAGGGAGTGAAAAAGTAATATCTTGACAGAGTTGTATCACAGTCATGCAGGAGTGAAAATCCTGTCATCACTTATAAAATTTTAATTGTATATTTTATTATCTTTTTGGTTTTCTTTGCATTTTGCAACACTTCTTCTGGGAAAGTATTTATATCTATCATAGTTAAAATTGCTAGACATAAAACTGAGCAGGTTCATATAGCGGTAATGCTCAGTACTTGTATTTGGGGGGTGTTGATTTCAGATCTCAGCCAGGACACCAGCCATCCTGACTAAGATACTTGTGGTTTTCCTCAGTTCCCAAAGCAAATTATGGGATGATACCGTGGTTATGCCATGACTGTTTCTTTCCTTATCCACCAGTCATTGTATCATTAGACCTAATGGGGTCTGCATACTGACACCATCATAAAATAAACCATACAAGGCATCAGACATTATAAATAATTATGTGATCTGGTTTACATTTACATTTATGTTTTACTTCATGGATCCAATCATCTCCCTCTAGGGCTGGATAAAAAACATGTGACATATTACAAATTCATGATGACTACACATCATTCATCCTTGGTCCAATAAAATATATAATCAGGCCTCACACAGATAGCCCAGGTTGTAAGGACAACACACATAGATCGTGGAAAGCCACTGTCAAATTCACACCTTGCCATTCCACACATGCTGGCAAGCCATATCATCCAAACAGTTACATTATAAAATATTAAAATTCATAAGAAAAACAGACATCATACATACTAGTACACTTACAGCAAGCAAGTCTCAACAATGTATAATTCACGCACACAGACCATTTATTAACTCTTTAACTTTTGAGCCCCTTGCATGCTCGACAAATTCATCAATTGAATAAAATGTGTTACTTTGCAAATAGTTTCATAAAACAAACCTAAATTGCATTTTATCATTTTTTAAAACTGTGATATTTGATGGCAGAGTGTTAAATAGCTTTAAGCCTGAATAATACACCCCCCTCTGACAGGATGATAAATGTGTTGAAGGTATATGAAGGTGGTCATGTTCAGGTATTTTATTTTCTGAAATGTCCTTTCTCTTATGGAATGTCTTCCTTGAAAGTCTCTGATGATCTTCCAGCAGATATATTCAGGTTGCAAAGTTTGACAGCATTATTTAGGTGTAGAAAATACTTTTTATAATTATTTTGGCAGAACCATAAATTAGGATCTGTCAATCAGTATACAGAGAAACCCACATTTAAGCATTGTATTTGTACACTGAAGTGAGGTAATTTAACATCATCGTTGTTGGCTTTGGAGCATTGAAAGTGATCATTAAATAAAGGGAAATTCTAAATTGAGGAATATTAAATGGAGGTTTCACTATTAAAAGTTGTGATACCTTTCCCTGTGAAAATGTCATAAATGGGAGGATAATATTGAAATGAAGCTTAAGTAAGATGGGAAAGTGTGCACTGAATTTTTCTGGCTCAGGGTATAACCTGTGACTGACCCTTGTGAACAAAGTGAAGAACCTTCCAGTCCCATAAGAGAAGGGAATTTTCTTGATGAACTGAGTGATTGTTAACTTCTCAAGAAGAACTATACTCATTGTAATTAGTTTTCACTGTTTCAAATAATGTAAAATTTGAATATTAGCTTTCCATCTTCTCACTAGTAAATGTTAAACAGCTGTGGAATAGTCTGAAATAATTTAGTTTAATTTGGTTAATTAACTGGAATAGTTAAGTCAGTAAAGTGTCTGGCTGTAGTGTGGATCACTGGGGTTTCATTTATGCCAGAGGTAAACAATTTTCATTCTTGTCGCCATATCCAGTCCTGCTGAAGTCTCATATTATATATGCAAAGGGGATTTTTCCTCAGAGATGGAGCATGAAGCTGCACATTTGCCTCCATCTAACACTAAAGAGCTCTACCTCCACTCTGTCATACATCTTCATGGGACTTATTCAATCATGGAGCTGAGCCCTTCTTGAGAAACCGCCAAATGTGCAGCTACTCAAGAACTTTCCAGGATTTTATGGCACCAGGCAGTTCATTACCATGTTCACAAGAGCCCTCCACTGGTCCCTGTCCTGAGCCAGATCAGTCTGATCCATACCACCCCATCCTGCCTCTCTAAGATCCATTTTAATATTGTCCACCCACCTATGCCTCACTCTTTCCAGTGGTCTCCTTCCTTCTGGCTTTCCCGCCAATATCCTATATACATTCATCTTCAGCACCATTCGTGCTACATGCCCTGCCCATCTCATCCTTGACTTGATCATTGTAATTATACTTGGAGAAGAGTACAAGTTATGGAGCTCGTCATTGTGCAGTTTTCTCCCACCTCCTGTCACTTCATTTCTCTTCAGTTCAAATATTCTCAACACCCTGTTCCCAAACATTCTCAGTATATGTAATTTTCATGGGACAGTTTTTAAAATTTAATTTGATGTTCTGACTGTAGACACAATGTAGGGTGATTATGAAATGATGAAACCAGAGGTAATACTGTAACAGAAATCACTGTGATTCACTGGAGATAATCATGAATGTTTGGAACAGAATAACTGTCTGTTAGAGAATGAATTTGTATCTTCAGAATTCCAAATCTGCATATGCAACATGAACAGAGTGATCAGTTATGGACTGGGGATGGTACTGTTATTGAATATTAAGATTACCATCCTCTGGAATGTGACACTGTATAGACCAGTAGATGGGTACCAACTTTTTGGAGGAACATGCTGCCTCCATCTTCAGAGCATATTCTTTTACTCTGAAGACGTGGCCACAGGTTTATCTAAAGTGTGGCATATATCTACAAAATTACATCCATTGCAGTGATAACAGTAGAACTGAATTAAAAACACGTTTAAAATATTTTTCTGGGGAGTTTGAGGGATAATAACTTCCCCCTCCCTGCAAATGGATAATTACTGTGACTTAATTGTTTACATAATCCAAAGGGGAAGCACAATAGATCATTGAAGGTCACAGTGCAGGGTCTGATTTTATTGCTCACCCAGTACACACATACATAATTGTTTACATTTGATAAAGTGTTGAAGATTTATATGTTTACGGTCAGTCCTTGTGGATGTGCTTTGTTTATTGGGGCAGGCTGTAGGATATGGATTAGTCAGATTGTTCATCTGTGAGGTCTGTTGGTTGGAATTGCTTTGCTTTTAAATCTCATTGCCATGAGACAACATCAGTTGCACACAAGCTGTTGTAGACAGAATGTGCATTTCATTGTCTGGTTTATATTGACTTGCATTACTAGAAATATAAAGGAATGAACAGAAGATATCTTGGTAATGTTCTACTTTATGTTGCCCTCACACAGCATTATCATTTTTGGTAGTTATGATTCATAAGGTGTCAGTAAGATGTTATTGCTATACGTAAACTCATTCCCATGAAGTTAGACTTTTTGAGGTTTTCACATCAGTTTGCATGAACAGTGCTATATTCTGGGGTGTAACGCCATGTAATCTGTTAGAAGTCTACTTATATTTTGGAGGAATTTAGTGCCTCCATCTTCAGGGTTGAAGACTAAGACAAGCAAGAAATCATCAAGAAGTGGGTGGCAAGCAGAGAGGTATTACATCCCAGAAGATAAAACCCTTGATCACCACCATGTGTTTTGATGACTTTATATTACTGTATTGAGAAATGTGTCATTGACCGTAATGATATGTCCAATTGCAGATCTTATATATAGTTTTATGTATGGGTGCCACTAGATTCTTTCCAGGAGGGAAGGGGGCAGTTAGAAAATTGTTTACAGACTTACATTTAAGTTGTTTAAGAATATTTTTATTGCCTTAGAATATTCAGAACAGCAGAATACAGTTTTTTTAATAATTTTATTTTTTGGTATTGNTGTATACAGTGAAGTTTTTTAGGGAAAATGGACCATGTGAATATGGAGGTTATATCCAGTGTCTCAAAGACTAGTTTGTCTCCATCATCAGAGATTGTGTTAATGAGTGTTTCAGCCACATATTGTGTTGATACCCACAGAGTTTGCTACACACTGGGAGAGCCAGAAGCATGCTCTGTGCACATATATGCAGTGTGTAGCTGCCTCACTCATCACGATGAACTCGCCTGATGATGGATACAGAGGAAATATCCCAAAAATTGGATACTAACCCAGATTGACAGAGCTGATTGCCTGATAAGACTGCATTGTTTATGTATATATATTTACTTTGTATATTAATTTGGTAATCAACATATTTTGGGTGTAGTTTCATATTAGTTATTTGTAATATTTGATTGCAGGGAGTTATGTACTATAATATAAATACAGTGAAACCTCACTAATTTGGAATTCACAGTAATCTGTTTTCTCTAGTTTGATAATCACTTTTAATGTATAAAATATACTTTTAGTGTCCTATTGACATTTTAATGATTTTGACATCATAAAGTATTAAAATACATTTTTAGTGAGTGACATATTCTAGATGTCTTTTATATTGTTGCATTATTAACGTGTACTCTAATAATAGGGATAATGCCTCAGTGCAATGGGATACTGAAATATAAAGTCCCTTGTAGTGTCCTGTTTTATTTCTAAGTGTGTTATGAACGTGATATGCTGCGCATTTAGTCTCCTGCTTGCTAGGATGTATAGTATGCATTTATATCTGTCTTGATATCCAGTCACTATATACAGTTTCTATAAACCTGATAGCAAAAGTGTGCAGAAGAAATCTTAAAATACAACCACTGCTGCCATCTGTGCTTGCTGCTGCTATCATTTTAAAATGAGAATCCTAAGAATTATTGAATAATTTGATGCATGAAGAAGATGAAAATTAAGATAATGGTGACTGTGATGATTTTTATTATTGCAGTAGGAATATGAAATATTTAAAAAAAAATCCCTTTTTTGGAAGGTGTGCCAGTGAGCAGTGAATCTGTGGTGGAATGTCTGCAGAGAGCTTTGCTCAATGTGGACGTAGATGGCGGTGTGAACATGCGACAGCTGTGTGACATGTTGCTGAGATGTGCTGTCGCACAGAGTTACCATGAACAAGTGCTACCTCCCAACAAGAAGCCAAAGGTATATGTTCTGCTGTAATACTACCTATTAAAGAGAAATCAGGAACTAGAGTTGTTGATTATAGCATGCAGTTTCTGACAGGTAAGCCTGCATTGAGTTGGAGGTTTTGGAGGTAGTGGATATATAAATTGTTTTCTCGTAGGTTATGACACAACATAGTCTAGTAGCTGATTACTAGTGTTTCAGAGGAACATTGAACCCTGAGGATAGAGGCAGCAGGTTGCTCTGAAATATTGATATTCGCTTATCAAAGTACATGCTGTCATAACAGAGACTACAGTGTAGACCTGGGTTCATAACTTATCCAGTCCATGAAGTATTTGGGGTTGGCAGAACTGTGCTAAGGTAGTGACCTGCATTTTCCTGAAGGGACTGAGGAAAACCAATCAGTGCATATGGTCTCCAGGCCAAGATCTGAAGCTAGATCTCGTATATAGTATATAGCAGGAGAGGTGATTATACCATCATGATGTTTAGTAAGCAGCTTCAACTGTTATGTTTCTGCTTTGGGAGGACTTACATGGGCTACAAATGGGCCCATTGTACCAGCTTCAGATTATAGATGAAAGAATAGGGAATTGCTGATTGAAAATTGACAGGGGAATACTGAAGTACTTTGAGAAAACTTATCCTAGTGCCTTTTTGTCCACTGCAAACCCCACATGGACTCTCCTGGGTTAGAACCCAGGCCTCTATAGTGGGAAGCTGGCAACTAACCACCTTACATGTGGGATGGCCTTTGCTTCTGCTTGCTTAGGAATTTGATGTGTTGTATTGTTGACTTGTTCAGTATTGTGCTCACTAGGCTAGGTTCAGTGCTGGCAGTCAAATTTTAACTTGGGGGTAATGGTATTTATATTGAAAACAGTGAGTCACTATACGTACTGGACTCATGCATACATCTTGACAACAGTGCAACATGTGATTGGTAAAGGATAAGAAAGATATATATAGGCGATAACTTAAACATTTAAAGCCCAGTGGTTCTATATGCACCACCTACTTTAACGTACTAAAACCCTATATTCTGCCCACACGATGTATTTGTATGGTCCATATGGTTCTCGCAGTAAACAGCAATTGCTTCCCTAAACAGCATCAATCAGTTGGGCTTTGTAGTGGAGACATAATGTTTCCTGTGAGGTACGAACTGAACATACTAAAACTCTGTATTCTTCCCACAGAGTGTATCTGTGTGTTCCATATGGTTCTCACAATAAACAGCGACTGTTTCCCTAAACAGCATTAACCAGTTGGACTTTGTAGCGGAGACGTAATGTTTCCTGTGAGGTACGAACTGGATTCTTGTATATTATTTAGAAGAACTGCAGTCTGCAAAGGATTAATTTGGTATTGATGTTAACAGTTGCCATCACTGTTGGCTGGTGTTGGTGGTGGAGCTGCTTGGGATGAGGGTGAAGATGAAGATGAAGCTGAGGCTGGAGATGGAAGTGAGGGGGGAAGTGAAGCATATGTGACAGCAGATGAAGGATATGAGGCAGATATAGAAGTTCTGGAAGTGTCTGGTACTGGTGTTACAAATTGTGTGGGCGTTGGTGACATGGGGGAAGAATCAAGTAGTTCTGTTGCCACCACAGCAGCTCTGGCAGCACCTGTTCCTGCTGGACATGGAGTACCGAATTCAGTACGAGTTCCTCACAGCATTGCGCATCCTTCACTCTGTCTTCTGGCTGTTCAACTTCTTGTTCATCTGAACAGAAGGTTAGTCCAACAAATGTGAAGAGCAGTTGAGGTACCATTGGGGTTTCAAACCAAAACCACTTGTGGAAAGTGTTAACTGAACTGTGCTTAAAACATCTTTGACATTGAAGAGTTTTATCTTGTGGGATATAATGCCACATAGTCTGTTGACAATTTATCCAATTTTGCTAGATATCACTCCATGGAGGCCTTGGAGATCAATCTCTAGGTACAGGGTATACACAAAAGAATTGTGCGGTTTCAAAAGTTAATAAAAAATTTATTTCTCAACTTACACAGGCACAACATACACTGTTAGATGCGGCAACTGTCCAAGTTTCTCATGCACTAATTAGAAACCTCCAATGTATACACCCTTGGTCACACGACACACATTCACACGGTAATCAAACTCATCCCACACCCGGTGTAGCATGTCTGCTGTAATGGCCTGCAGTGCCTGCATTATTCGATCACAAAGTTCATGGATGGACGTGGGCAATGGTGGTACATAAACACTCTCTTTAACGAACCCCCAAAAGAAAGAAATCGCACAGTCTAAGATCTGCTGAACAGGGTGGCCAAGGGAGAAGGTTGTTATCTCCATTTGCAGCAGTTTGATTACCGTGTGGATGTGTGTCATGTGATCCAGAGTGCACACATTGGAGGTTTCTAATTAGCATGTGAGAAACTTGGACAGTTGCCGCATCTGACAGTGTATGTTGTGCCCATGTAAGTTGAGAAATAAATTTTTATTAACTTTTGAAACCGCACATTCTTTTGTGTATGCCCTGTATTTTCAACATCAACAGTAGATTTCAATATAAAAACATAAATCTTATTTGTGGGGAGACATGTAAGGCAAACTATGGAGCTACACTTTCCTCATTTTCTAATGGATGATTGAAGAGATTTGAAGTGCTTATGTGCCAGTATCTAAAAGTAGACAGACTGAAGTCAAGCAGCGCATACTGCTGTGAAGTCATTGCTAGGCAAATATAAAGCTCTTAGCTTTATACCAGCAAACATGGATAGTCATCAGGTGAGGGGGTAGACACCTGGTCTGTTGGGTCCCTTAGTAAGAGCTAACCTCACTGGACACTTGTAGAACACAAAGAGTATGTCCCCCCCCCAGTTACCCAAGGATGGAAACAGATCCAGTTTCTGAAATGTGTTCTGTAGTTTTTAGAATACCAGACAGTGAACAAGGTCCAAAGACCCACTAATTCTGGGTGTTATACACTATCATCAGAACCCTTTAGAATCTACATTAATGACATATTCGTAAATAAACGAGTCGTTATCAGATTGTGTTCTACCAAGTTTACTTGTGCCAGGTAGATTGTCTGTTATTTTTCAATCTTATTAACATCATGTTGATTCACATACTACATGGTACATCAGAATATTGATTTTATGTGATTATCGGTCACAATGAACAGAAGGTTATTATCATAACAATAGCAGTTACTTAATATTTGGAATGTTTTGTTTCAGGTATTATGAGATGCCAGTTGAAGCTGCAGCTTCGTATCCTGAACGACCAAATGAATCGACACATCTACAGGGCTTAGTTCACTGTATACAACGGCTTGTTGCTTTGTGTCGAGAAAATGCACAAAACTGTATGCTGTTAGCAAACAGTGATCTCATGACAAAGTTGCTTAAGGGATTCACATCTGTTCTCTCTGTCAATGAGTCTAAACTCAGTGGTGAGTGTACAGTGATTTGTTTCCTTTGTTGGGTTCTTTAAGTAAGAAAAGTACAAATTTATATTCTCACGTGGCCATGAGCATTTCTCAGTTTATTCAGACAGAATTATTATTCATAATGTTGATTTGTTGCTTAATGTCATCTGGGGTATAGCTCTGTATAGTCTGTTGAAAGTCAACTGACTTTTGGGAGGAATGTGTTGCATCAGTCTTCAAAGCTGAAAATTAAGCCAAGCAAGAAACCAGCATTTAAAAAAAAACACACACACAAAAAAAAACGTGGCTTTAGTCCGCAAGTGAATTATACTGACCAAGCGACCGCCGCTTGTCGGAGAAGTTAGTACCAACTTTAGTGTATAGAGGGTGTCATGTGGTCAGCGTAACAGATCCCCATGGCCGTTAATCTCGGTTTTCTAGACTGGAGCCGCTATTTCCTTGAAATAGCTCCTCAACTATGCTCACAAGGCTGAGTGGACCCCATTCCAGACCCACTACTACTCAGAATATCTGGTAGCGCCGGGAATCGAACCCGGGATGTCTGGATCTATAGACAGGAACTCTGACCACTAGACCACAGAGGCAGTCAAACCAGCATGAAGAAGGTAGCAATTGGTGAAGACTGAGGGGACATGTTCATCTGTAACGTTGATTGACTTTCAATCGACTACGTGGCGTTATATCACTCTTCATAACCACTGCTGTGAGAACCTCAATTTCTACATAGTGTCACATATTTTGCATAAGAAATTTTTAAAGAATATTCAGGACTAGTGTAGCAGTACAGGCAAATCAAGCAGCCGCCTGGGCTGGTGCCATACTAGGGACAATACATTTTATTATTTTTAAGAAATTAATTTCGTCTGACCACCTGTTCATGTTCTGACCACATGTCTTTAATCTAAACTTGATGTGCAACAATATAAATAAAACTGTTTTAAACATTATGACACCAGTGATAGTTATCGTTTAAATTTTGTGTTATTAATTTTGACAAAGTTTTGAGAAAGATGTTTTTTACCTGTCGCTGAGCGGGCCTTGTATTTTGAGAATATGAACAAAGTTGCTTTCTTTAATCAACAGAAATTCTCGTTGCATGTTGTATACCAGGATGCCCCATGAATGGAACCTACCTCATGGATTTAAAAGCAAACATTGTGGTCCCATGGTTAGCATAGATGCTTCATAATCTGGGGGTTCAGGGTTTGGCTCAGTGAATGCCTATCCTGGCTGAAGATTAATGTAATTTTCTTCAGCCCTCCAGACAAATGCTAGGTTAATACTATGATCAGACCACATCTGCTTCCTTCCCAATTTTTCCCTGTTCATGATTCATCTCTGATCCTACAATTTGATGCTGTGTAGTGTAAATAGTGACAGGGTTGTAAAATAACACACAAAAACAAAATAAAGGCACTGAAATACTGCAGAAATGAGTACCAGTATGTAGGCTGTTAAGCTCTCATATGATAATGCTCCTGGTTGGATTTATTATATAATTTGTTTAGTATATTTATAAAATTCATCATTTNTATACACGGTGCCAAATCCCAGAAGACTGCTTTCTTCATAGTCACCGCCGTGAAAGCCTCAAATCTTACATTTTGTATGTATTATTCAGAGCTGCAACGAATCATCCTGGAACTAGTGGCCCAGCTTGCGTACTACAACATCAGTCCCAAAGAACTGTCCTTGTACCTCAGTCTTTTTAAATCTGAAAACCCTCCACTGGTAAGCATTAGTATTTAACACATTCAGGCCTGTGGCCACATGTTTATTCTGTTCAATTGAAATCTCTGATGCTGTGAAGATTTCTTGTGGTTATGTTACAGTCTATGGCTCTCACAATATGTATTGATAGAGAACAGTTTCTGAAACATACAAAAATTATCTGAAATATAAGTATATCAAATGTTGTGACATGACACCTGAAAGCAGAAAGTGTGCAGTCAGAGAAGCACAACAAAGACATATGTTGCTAGATAACAGGTAGGTAAACATGTTCCCATGGCAACCAATATGCAGAATAACAGGAACTGTAAGATGTAATGTTCCGTCTGCATGTAACTGAGTCACAGGAAGGGGTCAGCTGTACTGAGTAGCAGAAGACTAGAGACTAGAGACCAGAAACCAGTCGGAAAACCAGAAGAAATACAGTGAGAGATTTGTTATCAAGAAGGAATTCAATGTGTGAACTGTTATAATCAACTGTAATTGTAATAAAGACATCCAATAAATCCAATCATATCTAGAACCCACAATTATTAGTCACATTACCCCTTATACATTATTTTATGAAGTAATGTTGGAAAAATTTGCCTCTTGAACAAAATGACTGCAGAGATTATCTAATGAATTTCCATCCAGGTCTCATTTCATTAACACTGTCTCGAATGACAGATACATAATTAAGAATTTTAGAACTGAATAAGAGACAGTTGTTTATCTTAAGTACTTTTTTAATTCTGTTTTGTTTCTATGAAATCTCTGGATCACTAAAGTAAATCTGTCACAGATGACAGTACTTCATAGACAATGACATGAGAACCCCAGATCTTGCAAAATTTTGCCTCATAGCATATAAGACATTGGTATAATTAAGGAGAATCATGGGAACACAATCAATCAATCAAATCAATCAAGTTAATTGAGACAGATTATGATGTGTGATGTTACTGTTCCCCCATGTTCGCAGGATTCACTGTTGAGTGCGCTCACTAAACTTGTGACAAACAGCCGTGCGCAACCAAACTACATCCTATGCTTTCCAGCAACAGTAACATACAATTCTCCACACAACCACAGACCATCAGGATCAAGCAGTCCGACTAATGATAGTCCTGCAGGAGATAGTAATACAGCTGGAAACCTAGCCTTTACACTCCATCAACAGCATATCAGAGCAGGTATGGATTCATCTCTTGTATTTGACATTGTCATTCATGAATATCTCAGGAATAGAGATTCTGCTCATGAATACTGTTATGGGGGAAGGGAAACTAGACATCTACCCCCCTATCCTTTGTTTTCTGGGGGGGGGGAGAAATCAAAATCGAAGAAAAGAGAGAAGTATACCAAATATTAGTAATAAAAATAACAAAAGTTATTCTTCTTCTTTCCTAAATACTCTAGGGGATCATTAAAAATAGTGTTATTTGGATCAAACAAGTTCATCAGTAAATTTTCTGGTTCCT